GCCTGATCACTTCCACAGTGGAAAAGTTCAGGAATGTGTCTGCAAGATTGCGATGTTGTTGCAACTTGTTTTCTTACCCCATTAATCAGAATGATAAAGTGGTGACAAGAGGTACTCTGCTTGCATCCGGAATGTCTTCCTGGTGTACCCTCATGATTGATGCAGTTCATTTTAGAGATGTCTGTAAGAGAGTGGCATCAAGCACAGACTATTGTGATTAAAAAGAAAGATTCTGTCATAAATTCTAACATAGTGAAGAGAGAGTTGTTTGCCTTACGAGGAGTCAGGACATCTTTCAAAACACTTTTGTATAAAACTGAAATGAAGGTCCCTTCTACAATTAGAAACCTCTCTGCTCTTCCCTTCATTCAAAGAAGGTGAAACACTCCTCTGAAGGGAGTTTGTAAGACAAACTAGAAATGCTTTAGGATACTTTTATTGCTACTGTTCTCTATGGGCAGTATGGTCTGATTAGAATAAAAGTTTTGTTTGACCTATGTTAAATGGGAGTTTGCTGCGTACCTGCAATTTCCAAATCTACCAAACCTGAAGATAATTATAAACATGGTAAAAAAGTCACATATATTAAAGTCTACATGAAACATTTTAAAATTCCTCCTTCTCCCTCCTTTTTTTTTTTTTCTTTTTTAAATGTCCTTTGTCAGCATGGTGTTGTAGAAGAGTTAACAATAAGCATACAAATGTCCTTAGATATTTTTTCCAAGTGTTACTTGTTTACCTATTTGTGTAAGAGCCATACTTACTGGTGCATATCCCTGTAGGGACCATCTGAGCGTGACAGTAGTCATAATATGTCAAGGCCTGAACTTGATCTCAAAATCAGGGCATTGCCTCTTTATTATAAGAATGTCCTTCTTGTAGAAGGTTAAATTAATTTATTTAATTCGAAATGACTATGTAGTGTTGTAAATAAGATGTATGATGAGACATCATATATGTAATAAGATTGTTGTTTGATGATTTTAATAGCCTTCTGGATGGCAACTTGAGAATGAGAGAATAAGATCATTATCAGATAGCATTATATAAAGATTCGGTATTTGGAAGCAAGGACAGGGAATATTAGTTCTTACAACAGTTCCTGCAGCTGTTATTAATCATGCAGATAATGCATAATGTAAGATCATTACATAAGATCCCTTGGTTTAAAGTTGCCCTTAAAATATGCAATTTGAATCTGAAAATGAAGCATTCAGAGGCAGTGGCAGCGTTTCCATCTAAGAGCTGCTGAAGACTCTTTAGCAAGATAAGGGAAGGAAGCGGATGGTACTTGGAGGCAGCACTCCCACATTGCCTGTGGGCAATTTGTTGAAACCAATTTCCAGATTTCAGTAGAAGCTGCTCAGCAGCCTGCAGTGCTGGAGATTCCTCAGGGCCCTTGCTGTTTGAGGCCCGTGAGCAAGGGACAGCAAGTCCAAGGTGGCTGACCTTAAACAGGGCTTGACAAATCAGCTGTTGGTAATGAAGCTGTGTGAAAATACCTAAGTCTCACTGAAAATACTATCAAACTGCTGTATATTCATTTTTTTAAATCTAAAAAGTGCATATCTTGTATTCCCAGGCAACACATTATCAAAAAGACTGCAAGCAAAAATACCTGCTTTAGTATAAGTCGTAGGTATACGGGTTGACAGTGATTGCCATCCTGTGTACAGTGATGTTCCTTGAAATGCACAGTACCTGCTTTGACTCAATTACAGCTGCCATAAAACCTTCAAGTTATGTGAGCATCTTGCATGAGGGTCTACTTTACTTAATAAAAATGGAGTTATGCTCTTTTTAATTAAACTAGCAAGCAAGACAGTGTGATTGGCTTGGTAACTGTGACTGTGAGTCTTGGAAGGTAAGTGCCCTCTAGGGATTTTTGTTAGTAAGTCATGCCAAGTATTGCAAGATATGGGAGGAAGAGTTAATTGATAGCTTAAATAAATCTCTTTTCTTAATACAAAGTAATTTGTTTGATATACCTTGCAGGTGCAGTATATAATACTGCTTTTTATGATAGATAGTTTCTACTTCTTTGGTGCTATTTAAATAGCATGTTAATTTTAAAAGTCAGTCTTTGCTGCCATCATTCACTTGTTGTTTTTGTTTTTGTTTTTGTTGGTTTTTTTAGGGTTCATAATTGCATATAATGAGTAGTTCATGTTGCACAACGTTATCTTTTAGGTACCAAGGTTCTGTAATTAGCATACAAGCTTGTAACTCCAGATTAGTATTTTTAACTGTTAACTATAATATTAATGAATTCACTTTCTTATGAGAAAGGAAAAGCAGTTCTTGAAAAAATCATGAAGGCAGGACCTTCCTGCTTTCTCCTTCCTGAAGCACATGTAAGGACTGCATTTATAAGAGCCTTTTACCCAAACCAATGAGCAACTGGCAATGCTGGCTTGTGGATACAGGAGGAGCAGTCCTCCAGGATCACTGCTTCTGCACACCTACATGTGTGTGTTCACTTGTCCTTGCCCATCAGTCAAGTGGTTTCTGTGGCCCTCTAACTCCCTTCCTCTCCAGCACTGAGTGTTCCTCTGGGATACATGGTTTGCAGTTGCAGAGTCAAGCATGCAGACCAGTGGAGATCTCAGACCCATCTCCAGGGATGGTTACAGGGAGCATCAGTTGACTCCTCTTTAGAGAGGCAGCCACAGCATGGGATGCAGCTTCACTGAAGTTGCTGTGGATCAGAAGGCCAGATGTCAGGTGCTTGGCTGCAGCTAAATACTGCTGGTGTGTTGGGGAAGACATGGAATGCTGTGTTCATTCGTGGGACTGGGCTGTCTGTGTGGCCTTGCCCAAGGAGAAGAAAGTAGGTCACCTTTCTGAAAGGTGGGGATATAAGCTGTCTGAAGATTTGGTATGACACTGTTTTGCTTCACTTATGTTGTCTTGCAACTATAAACTTGAAATGTTTTGGGTTCCTTCTCTAATGAAGTTATTTGGCAAGTGCAGGTCTACTAATCCTAGAAATACAAAGTGCCCAGTCCCAGCTTGGATCATAATAGTTTTTCTTTTAATTTTAAGGAATGAACAAGACTCTGGGGTTGATGTATCTTTATTGAGAACATCTCTGTTAATAATGTTTAATATGAGTAAAACATCATTTTGGAAGTCTGCCATCATTGTTTTAGAAGTGGCATACAGACAAGAATGGATGTAGTTTAATCATAGTGAGGTTAAAGGATCCTGCAGTGGTCCAAATCTTTAGTGCTTGCTCCAGTTCCTTCTGGAGTTTAGACCTTTCGATAGACTTTTCTGCAGCCCATTTCAAATTCCTTTCAGGTTTTCTGAGTTACTAATTCAATTGATAAAGCTTGATTTAGTAACCAAACCAAGGCAACTGTCAGAATAAACAGTACTGAAGTATTCTGCTAATATCAATAGTGTCATCATCTTTATCCACATTTTCATTAGTGTTTATGATATTCATAAGCCAGCTATTTTATAATCGGGGCAGATGTAAAAAGAATGTAATGCCTTCTGGATCAATGTAAGTTGTTAATTCAGTAGTAGAAGCTTCTTAGAGTAATAGATCCTAACAATTTGAATGGGCAAATACTTAAAAGGTGGGACTTGTTTTGTTGCTGTTGGTATACTGTACTTTGGAAATGCTTTGGGGATCTTTGGGTTAGGGATGTTAGAGATCCTTATTTTGAGTATAGCTAATTCTTAAGATGGGTCTTAAGGAAACTTGCATAACTGCTTTCCTAAATTAACGGAGTTATCCAGATGTTCTTCTCAGAGATGCCCTGTGCTGTCATTTCTGATAGTACAAGCTGTGTCCTCACTGTGATACACAGGACACATGGTAGGTGCCAAAGTAGTTACTCTTTCTGGAGCAAAGTAGCAATGTTTTGAGACTTTAATGAAATACAATACATACTACTACAAGTTATGGACATACTAAATGTGTATTCCTGGAAATAATAGTGAAATGGGATGTCTCACTTGTAATACTGTATAACGCTGTTTTAATGCTGACAGTAAATCTGTACTTGGCATAATACTGTGAGATATGTAAATTTTCCCATGTTTCAAGCTGGTTTATGTATGGGGTATTACTGTAATAAAATTGTATTGTTTGGTTGCATGCCACAAATTGCAACAAAGATTGCTTTAAAATCGTCTACTGCTCAGCCTTGGGAAGAAGGAAACAGTGTTACCCATTTGTGTAATAAACCAGTCCTTTCAGACTGAAATGGCACACAAAATTTGTTTTGTAATAAAAATCTTTTTCAAATAAACTTCAAGGGGAATTACTGTTGTCAACTCAAAAGCTTTCAGTTAAAATTCATACAAGTTATCTATGGAGAAAGGTGTTATTGCTCTGTTATGCAGCAAGGTGCATTACTGCTGCAGATCTGTATTTTGCAAGAAACTGAAAACTGCATACACTTTGCTCTGTGTCTTAGCACAGTACAGAACACATATAGCTACTTTTTTGGTGAGGAGCTGAAGACAAACATTCCTGCTTTGGGATAAATGCATTATTTCTTGTTCTGCAGTCTGCTTCTTGTGCACTTGTTGCAACAAGTGTACATACAAGCAGTCTTGTAACCAGTGAGTATGCAGCCTAAACTGTATAAATTTACTTGTGAGTTAAAAAAACCCCAAACTGTAGCATTTTAAAACTAAAATTATGGCATCAAAAGAAAAAAAAAAAGAACCAAAAGAAACAAACAAAAAATCCCCAACCAAACCAAACCAAAAGTGGGCCATAATTTAAATTGAATTTTAACTAGGAGGTTCTTATTGCCTTAAAGAATACCTGTATTCTTACCCACCTTAAGAAACATTTTTTTTGGATTGACAAGAGGAGGGGCCTGCACGTGCTGTGTGTTCGTTAATTTGGCTAATCACAGAAGGGAACTGTAACTTATCTTGATGCAATGTGTAAGAGAAACTAGCAGTACTTCAATGGCAGAAAGTGCAGGAATTAAAATTTATGTGGCTCCCATTCTTCATCTTTTCTTTTACAGTCCACTCCTTTACACCTAGCAGCAGGCTACAACAGAGTTCGGATAGTCCAGCTTCTGCTTCAGCACGGTGCCGATGTGCATGCAAAAGACAAAGGGTATGTAAAATTAACTGATTTATTATCTGTTTGCAGCAGAGGTTTTGTATTAATCAAGATGAAGATTTATTTCTCTGGTTCATGTTGTAGCATAATCTCAAATAGTTGGCTGAGAATGTGATACTTGCTTCCAAAATCTGAGTGTGGTTCATCGTAAATGAACCTTTGTTAGAGCCCTGATAACAGACAGTTATGATTGCACTTGTTTTAGGTCTTTTTTCACAACTTGAAATTTTTTTCCAATCTTTGTTCTTTACTTCCATGCACAGACTACCCTATGAAATCATGGACTAACAGCATTATTTTACAGAAGACAGTGGGGGGAAGATACGGGGGCTTAGTGAAAAATGTGCATTGAAAAACCTATCTGTAGTTTCATTATGCTGTTGTGTATGCATGGATGTAATTCCAAGTAACATCAGTAATGCTCATGTGCTCACAGCTTGTGGTCCTTGGAGATGTATCTTGACTGATGCTGCCAGCAAAAATCAAGATGTAGTAGAAGCTAAACTATTCTATTTTTGCAGTAAGGATGGTAGTTAGGTAAGAGATCACAAAAAGTACACAGCAGTCAGAAATCTGGAATTATACATATTGTGCATTGTTCTCAGCCACACGTTTCTGATCTGTAAGGTGATGATTTTCATGATGATCTGTTAGAAGGGCTTATTCCTCACATTGTAGAAATTGAGCCCCCAGTTAAAGGCATACATTTTGTATTCAGAAGTAAGATATTCATGTGTGTGTGTGTTCTGTCTCCATGAGCAAACTTGAGGCACTTCCTATATTTTCATTTTCTGCTGAGTCCAACCTAGTGTTAAAAGATTTTTAATCAACTTCTTAGCTTTTTTCCTTTCTTTCCAAACCAGTCCTCAGTGTACTTAAACTCTTGAAGTTTGGCTAGTTGTAGCACTTCAGTCCATCCATTCACCCCAATGGCTTTTTAAAATCAGAATTATTGTGAAATTCATAATGACATGTTATGAAAGTAAAAAAAAACAAAACCAAAAGCCACAAGAAGAAAATAAGACACAAAAATCCCATAATAAAGCTCTATTTAGTACCTGTTCAGGTAGATCCAGCACTATTAGGCAAGTCTGAGGTATTTTACACCTTTCAAAAATTTCAGCATCAGTTGGTAGAAAATTCCAGTGTGGATACTATAATGAGGTTTGAATGATTTGCTTAGAAAGTGTAAAAAGTAACTAAGTTGAACTTGAACTGGGTGCTGGAGCAGGAGAGGAAAGAAAGGGAACAAAGAAAGGAAAACCAATATGCTTACTCTGTATTAAACTTTAAATTAACCCAAAGGTATTTAGAAATATCTAACATCCTAGTAAGCTCCCACTTTTTTTCAGTGTCATCACACATTTACAATCAGTGTGTTGTTTTGTTTTACCTTACTGTTTCTTATTTATACATAATTTATAGGTAAGTAATGCTATAAATAAATGTCATTTTTCATTTAAGGAGCTAAATTAGGTTACATTGATTTTATAGACCTCTTAGGTTCTCTTCAGTGGGCTCAATTTAAAGAGAGCCCTTAGGAACTTGGCTGCATTTTCAAAATGGTCACCACTTCTGGCTACTCTCAAAGAGAAGCCTTGCCAGGGAAGCAGCTCTTTTTCCACTGGTCCTTTCTTTCCCTTACAGTTGTTATGCACAAAGTTGCAATGTGCTGGAAGAGGAAAGGGGAGGGGATGCTGCAGAAGTGGCTAGGTGCATTGCTGTAGTGATTGTCTTTGCTGACTGGCCTTGAGATGACCATCATTTTGGAAGAGGGCAGGTTTTTTGAGTGCTTGGTGGACTGACTAGTCTCTCTCTGTCCCACACATGCACCCATAAGTTGTAATTAAGAAAAGCAATGATAGAAAAAGAACAGTTTGGAAAATTTCCCCAAACAAATTTCCCTCTCCTGTGACAAATGTAGTGCTGCTTCTCAGAGCAACTACTTTAAAAATAAGTTCACTTAATTGCTGTCCTAATGCTCTTTGAGTTGATTTTGCAATTCTGGGAATCACTCCGGGTATTTTCCATAAATGGCGAAGGGTTAATTGTTGTTTTCAGTGTATTGTGCATAGTTGATCCGTAAGTAGCCTATCTTGCTTGGCTTGAATTAAACTCATTTTGTCCTCAGCAATAATTGCCCTTTTTGCATCTCCTTTTCAATGCATGACTTTTTTATTAAGTCTTGTGCTTATGACCAAATCCCTGTTATTTACTTTGCTAGTGTCAGTTTTAACTATGGCCTGCAGTAACACAGCTGTACAAAAAATTACAGGGACTCTCTTAGAAGTATCGTGAACAGTTAAATAGGTTGTACTATAAAAAATGGAGTAAAATCAGGTCATTCTACAGTCTAGAACAGCAATTTGAGTCTGCTTTCTATGGATATTTCTACATCTTCATAATATACCCAGGAGTTACATTAGTGTTATCTGGGGAATTTTGCTTTTCACGTATCATTTTAAATAGGAGTTCATATTTAGGCAGAAGCAGAACACTAGTGAGCAAATGGAATGCAGAATGGGACTTCTCCCCCTCCTTAATAGCTTCAAGAAAGATCATGTCAAAGCCACTTAATGCAAATCTTAATGGTAGATTAAACATCTGTTGCCTGTTAAGACAAAATCACCAACAAAAAAGCCCCCCAAAAACAAGACCCCCAAGCAACAAATCCCCACATTTTAATGTCAAACTTGAGTAATGTGTTGTTTGGAAAATCAGATTTTCCCATTAGTTTGTGAATTTTATATAAATAGTTTAGCTTTAACTTGATCTTTTCATCTCAGTAGAGAGAAAATTGTTCCTCCTTCCTTAAAAATGCTACTTAAATAAATGTCATTTGCCTTCTTCCATACAGTGGTCTTGTGCCTCTTCATAATGCATGTTCATATGGACACTATGAGGTTACAGAGCTGCTGCTTAAGGTAAGCAGAAGGATGGAAAGTAATTACTGTAGATTTAGGTATTCATGAGATATGAACTATTTATACTAGAGTTGAAAAACAAGACCTTTGTTTTTGTAGTAACAGGTTTCAAACATCCTATTGTCATTTCAGAAGCCTGCAACTTTAGGTCTTTGTGTGGAACAGTGTACGTGTTTTTCCCCCACCTAATTTCTTTGGACTGATAGTAGAGTTTAATTTATTTGAATTTTTCCATGCAAAAATTAACTTACATAGAAATTCCAAATTTTTTTTGAGGATTCAACAGTATTTTTGTGTATACTGATATCTTAATTATTTTTTTTGCGTATGTGTTCATATATGAAAGAGTGGAACCAACTTTATTTAATAAAATGAAAATTTGTAAGCTTTTTAGTTGTAGAAGATGATTTCTTACTAATCCGAGGCTTTGTTTGCTGTGCTAGCATGGTGCCTGTGTGAATGCTATGGACCTCTGGCAGTTTACCCCCTTGCACGAGGCTGCTTCCAAGAACCGGGTGGAGGTCTGCTCCCTCCTGCTGAGCCACGGCGCAGATCCCACGCTGGTCAACTGCCACGGCAAGAGCGCGGTCGATATGGCTCCGACGCCTGAGCTCAGGGAGAGGTTGACCTGTAAGTGTTCTCAGACTGCAAACAGTTGGTGGTGGGTGTAAAGGGATGCTTTCCTTTCAGGACAGCTTCCTTGAGTGTCACAAGTGGATGCAAAGCAGCAGAGGAGCTGCAGCTGTGCTGCTCGCTTTGAAGTATGCAGGTACCTCTAATATACTGTTTGTGATATTGCCCAGTTTTCTTAAGTTTAAAATTATTAAGGCACTGCTGAATCAGTGACTGTGGTTTTTTTGATGCTTGAAGTCCAGTTGAGTCACATAAGAGCCTCTATATTGAGGCTTTTTATTGCACTTAAATGGAAACTTCCAAAACGTAGGTACCTTCGGTGTGCAAACTTGGAGACTGAAATTCCATCACCTTCTTTTGCAGTCTTTGCAATCCTTATGCTGCTTACAAAACAGTCTTTCAGCTCTAATTTGAATTCCTATGTCTTTGCTAGCCCTCTTTGAGGGATTTGTTTTCTCAATGTAATGAACTGTAAAAGATAATTAATTGAGACAAGTATGGAAACAGAGTATTATGAAGTTACGGAAAACTTCTTGAGAACTAGATTCTCAATTATAAAGTTTTTGGTTTTGTCTGTCACCTTTCCAGTAGAGCAGAAGCCCCCTGATGCTAATCATGTGATCCTGCACTACTCAGAATCACAGATAGTCAGGTTTTAGTCTGTCACTATTATTTACATATGAAGGTGGTGAGAGGACATTAGTACCTTTTACCTACTTCTCTAGTTTGTATTCTGGGCTAAAGTGGAAGATACTTCTGGCTCTGAGGAAGGTTAATTTACCATGTACTTAAGTTAACAAGCAAAAAAAAAAAAATCTATTTAAACTTCGTTTTATTTCTATATGTATAATTCCTCAAGAGTAATGGGGAAGGATTCACGTCCATTAATATCCACTGAAATTTGTATACGAATGTGACCGTTATGTCAAATTTGACAGTATCTTGATGGGACATCTTGTATTTTCATATGCCAAGTATCATGTTTATTATCTTCTTGAGTTGTTTGATTTTTGTACTTTGGGAATAAAATTACATTATATTTGTTATTTCAGGATTTATTTGTACTTGTGCTTTGAGTAGTGCTCTGTTTACAAAGAAATTTGAATTATATTTGAAATTAAAATTTAGAAGTTATTAATATTTATTTCTATGTATAAATCCACAAATATACAAGATGTTAAAAGAAAGCTGGGAGAAGAAAACCCCTCTTTAACAAGTTTAGTATTTCAAGCTTGCTTATGAAAGAAAAATACTGATATTTTTACTGAAATCAAGGTGTTTTTTTTTTCCTAGTTCCCAGGGTCAGACATCATTTTTGCTAACCTACCTTTCATATGTATATTTTAAGAGAAACACTCTCATTCCTTTTCACATTCAAAGTTATTTAAAACTAAAATGAACTAGTTGCTGACCTAAACAAGATGTGAACATAACAAAATTACTTCTCTATACTTGCAAAGACATATCTGCTGTCTAAACCTGTCTCTCATCTTTATAGCAGACTGGCTTCAAATGCTTAGCCAGTTAGCTTTCTTTAAGACCAATAGTTTAATATTTTATGTATGCATTGTTGTTATTGTTATTATTTATAATTTTATACAAATTACGTCTATTTAGGTTTTACAGTAAATTTTTTGTCATTGTAAATACAATAGGGTTTTTGAAAAGTACTGTAATGCGTTTTTTTCTGAAGAATATGTCATAGCACTGTGCTTACTTGAACTCATACATAGGTAATTTAGAGGTCACATATACATTTAATGTCAAGTGGGTGGAGGATAAGAGGGGGAAAAGGATTTTATCAAGGAATCACTTCCCCTCTCCTTTAGAATGTCCCCTCTCCTTTAGAATGTCCCTTTTGTTTCAGCAAAACATGTTTTATGTTCTGTGTCCAGGTCAACTACTACCTGAAGACATGCAGAAACACTCCTATTTCCTCATAATTGAGTATAGCTACCTGTCTCCTATAACATTTATAAATGTGACATGTTGCTGAATATTAAATTTATCTTTTTCCTCTAACAGATGAATTCAAAGGACATTCTTTACTGCAAGCAGCCAGAGAGGCAGACCTAGCCAAAGTGAAAAAGACACTTGCTTTGGAGATCATTAATTTTAAGCAGCCACAGTCTCATGAGACTGCACTGGTAAGATTATACAGTCAATTCATTCATTTTATGATAAATGTGGTGGTAGTTTGGCAGTCAAGGAGTTTTATTTCTACACTATGAAAATACATTCATCATCTGAGATTGAGGATTTGCCATCAAACACTTTATATATTAAAATAAAATCACTGTTACAGAAAAACACCGTATAAATTATTTTATCACTTTTTTCTTCCTTCTAGTTGATTACAGAAGCCCTCCAGCCACTCCCCACCTTTTCTTTTTCCACTTCTCTTTCTTTTTTCCCCATCACCCTCTTTTTTTGTTGGTCAGTTGCTGTGTTTTTTCTGGGGTTAAATTCTGTCCTGCGGTCCAGTGTTTCCTTCATGTTTTATATGGACAAGCTTGGATCACAATTTTTCTTCATAGGATATGTAAACTTGTTGTGAAAGGGTCTTACAGGATTGGAATAATACTGACAGTGCCACATTAGCTGTGGAAACAGGAGTCTTTGAGACTTTCCTGGTAGTATCCTGCTCTTATTTCATTGTTTGAAGAAGCAATGGAGGCAAAGAACACAGCCAGTATCCCAGATGCAGTGAAGATATCGAAGCTGAGTGGGACTGATGGTATTATTAAAACCACTATAGCTATGATACTTTATTCCAGTGGAACATTTTCTTCACAGTGGTAGATCTCAGCCGTAGGCTGATACAACTGCATATTTAGTGTTACAAACATTGTGATTGTGATCAGAACACTGTGTGTTGAGTACCAAGCATCCATATGTTTTGTTTCCTCTGTGGAGGACTCAGCATCCTAGCCTGAACTTATAAGCAAGCTAGAGAAGAGAGATTTATAGACTGAATGTGAAAGCAGTATGAAATTTGCAATGACGTTATCCTTTTCTTCCTGAGTATATCAGCTGCTGCTGTGTGACATCTCTTTAGCTGTGTAATGATCACTTCATAGTCCTATGATGTTCTTTGCTCTTTTCCACCTGCTCATTCTGCAGAGACAGCTGGACCAAACAGGATATTTTAGCTCTACTGATATATTTGTTTCAGTATTCAGTGTTTGACTGTGATTTTTCAATTTTTGCTTCCTGTACTTGAGATTTCCAAGTGGTCTCCAGTCCAAGTGGAAGGCCTTATTTTCCGGGATCGGGGGACGTTATGTACAATCTAACTGAGCTATTCCTGCCCTAAGCATAATATTGTTTACCATGGGCCACTGGGGTCTGTGCCCTATTACCCCACAAAGGCCAAAACAAGTACTTGGGTTTTTTTCAGTATTGCTCTGAAGTTTGGCAGTATTTCACATTTTTGTGTGTTTTAGGGCTTGTTCATCATATTAGCAGGAAATATAGATAGGATATTATCTGCAAAGCCTTAAAAATGCTGCTACTCTTCAAAGCAAATGTTGATCTTTGTGTTTATTTACAAAGCTTGCCTTTGCAAAACTTGGATGTGCCCTGCTGACCAACAGAAATGTGAAAGCTTGAGTGGAAGTTACTTCCTAATGAAGGCTGAAACTGGGCAAAAGATGGTTATTGGTACTATTGCTGCTTATTAGCATTGGGTTTGGGGTTCTATCTCATTGTAAAGGCTGTTGTTTTGCTATTAGAAATTTAGAGAACTCTGTTCCAGGAGACTCTCTGGTTTTTATGGGTTACTGGTTTAAAACATAGGTAAACATGTTAACCTAAACATCCAAAAGTTTCTCCTTTTTCTTATAGTCTGCTTTCTTGAGACATCCAAACTTGAAACAGGCATTTCTGGACTGATTTTAAAGCCTGCTGTTCAATCTCATCTGGAACCATGCTGGTAATTTCAGGCCTCAGGAATGCATTGATAGAGCCACTGTTGAGAAACAGTGGCAGATGCCAGCTGGATTTAGGAGAACAGTTACACCTAGCAGGGCGCTGTGGGGGCTGTGTCCCACAAGGGCAGGTGTGAGCATTGAAAAGCCCTACGTGAAAGGTCTGTCTTTCTCACAGCGTGTTAAAAAAGAGACTGTAAGAGAAATTTGTTGCCTGTTTGCTTATTACATAATCTGTAGTTGGGTTCGTAACACAAATAGCCAAAAACAAGTTCAGGACACTTTGAAGTAGAAGAAGGAACAAAGCAACATACAAGTCATGTCAATTTGACAAGAGCAGCAGAATCTTAAGGACTCTTTTGGAAGACCTCTGTAGAAAGTTAGGCTGTTTCAAACTGTTTGTCTTTACCTCCTTTGTGCATTATGTGTCAGTTTTGTCCTAGCTGGTTAATGTATTTGGGACCATACCACTTTTTTTGTAAGTGACAAATAGCTTTAAAATGAAAACTGTTTTTCTGAGTAGAATAATTTAGCATTGATCACTAGCTTGTATTTGTTCAGTATGTTAGGTTTCAGCAGAAATATGATGGATTCTGTTTGTAAATTTTGTCATCTGATTTTAGCAGCGTAATTAAGAGATGAAGCAATGTATCTTTAAGTTCTTTGTCATCGATGTAGTTGAAATATAATTTATATTTACTTTTTTTTGCAGCACTGTGCTGTGGCTGCTGTGCATCCCAAGCGGAAGCAAGTTACAGAACTATTGCTCAGGAAAGGAGCAAATGTTAATGAGAAAAACAAAGAGTACGTTTCTGAAATTTCTGAATTTTCCAAAAGACTCTGTCATACTAGGAGTGTAAAACTAATATCTTTTTTTTTTTATTATTTCTCTAGCTTCATGACACCTTTACATGTTGCAGCTGAAAAAGCTCATAATGATGTCATGGAAGTTCTGCATAAACATGGAGCAAAGGTAAATATACTTACATGTATTTTATTTAAGGCAAAAGGCAAGAAGAAGGGTTATGTTGGTTAAATACCATGTTAGTTTTTATGACAGTTATTGCTTTTTATTGTGTTAACCTTGAAGAATGTTTATCTTAAATCAGTACAGGATCTTCAGGAAGTGCATTTGAAACTAGGTCTTCTCTCCAGATATCTGAATACAGGTTTTAGGAGTCTAGCTTACTAATTTTTAATGAATCTTACTACTAATTTCCTAAATTTTACTAATTTATGGATCTGATTTTGCACAGGAATTGAGTACTGATAGTATTTGGTCAGGCACAGAACTGGACATGCCAGAGTTTCAAATGTATTGATACCAACATACTATCTGCTTTGAAATACAAGTAGTTGGTGTGCGCTGAGGCTTTCTGGAAAGCCTGCTGCTATACTTTAGGTATTTAAATTAGTGCTCCCCTGAAAATCTAGCTCAGTGTAGTCAGGTTAGGAGTAAGCTCAAAGATCCTTACTGGAAGGCCAAATTTTATTGGTTTTGTCAGTAGCGTGTTCTTTTGATAGCTTTTATATCCTGAAGCAGGATTTTCTAAATCGTGATCTGTGAATCACTTGTGGACTGCATGCTGGTGGTGAGTGGCCCACAGTTATCTACAGAATAATGCCGCGCTGTGTTCTGTTGTTTATTCCATCGACAGTATGCAAATAGAGGTGGTCATTAAACCTCATTCTTCATTCGTATCCTGTATCCTGTGTTATTCTGAGGATAGCCGCTCACATTTATGATCTAGCAAAGCACTTAAGTGCATGGCAGGAGACCAATTGAAGTTAATATTAAGTATATATTTCCATACCGCAATGGATCAGGTCCCTCTTTATCAGTGTCCAAAGTTTCTTAGCTGTAAAACAGTACATAATGCAACCATAATTTTTAATGAGAGATAGATCGTTAAGGTTTTATGAGGCACTTTGAAGTTCTCAGATGGGATATGCTCAAGACTATTTATTAGTTAACTAGGCATATTTAATTACTCTAAAATCTTTGTCTTGCTTGGATATATCATTTGACCTCTTGCTTTCAAGATTGTGGACATGCAGTTCATCAGATACTTTTAACATTGATATTTCTTTGTTTCTAATTGTTGGGACATGGTAGCTTTAATCCCTGAAGCGTGACACAGGTTTTTGATTTTTTTTTTTTTAAATTTATTGTGTTTCTGAAATTTTTTATTAATGTTTACTCTTTTTGTGCCTTGAATTTTAGTTGCTTCATAAGATGTAACCAGATGTGCTAAGCTGTTTGATCATGTTTAGTTGGTATTTTTTACAAGAGAGGGTTCTCACAGGCTGGTGGATCTAGTCCCACTGCAGTAGCAGCTTCGAACAGCACTCTCCTGCATTTTAAATACATCTTTTCCATTTTGATGCTTCCTTTGGTGAGGTATTTGCAGTGAACAAACTGATTCTTCTAAGCCTTTGTTTTTGTAGACTAAAAGCCTCAAACACTTAGTCATTCTTCATAAGGGAACATTGCCATTTCCTCTTTATGCTTATAACCCATTCTCTTTACTAGCACCAGAAGAAATCTCGGAGCTCAGGCAACAAGAATGGAATTCATTCCCCCACTGCCTTCCATGATGGCACTTCCATATCTCTGATGTAAATGCTGGACTGATGCATATTGGGATCATGTTTGCCTTTTTAATAGACATGAGATAGTAATACTCAGATCCTTCCTATAATCTTGTAGTGCCCAGAGAATCTTGATTTTTTTTTTTTGCTAATTTTGTGTATTTGTGCCCCTCAGCACAATTCTCCTGTGCCAAGATCATTAATGCAAATAGTAGAATAAAATTGTCCCACAACCAACCACTGAGCAGCCTTCCCACTTTCAATACATTCAGTTCTTCAACCAATCCTTATTTTTCCATATAAAATATTTCACATGTGATCCCATATCAGATGCTTTCTGAAGTGTGTATGGATGGCAGCTACCATGTCTTTTTTTTTTACTTTACAGTAATTTCTTCTCTCAAAGGAGAGGTACTATACAAGTCAGCTTTAATCTACCTTCTGGAAGTAACTACTTATTATAGAGAGAGTAACAATTTGAAAAAGATGTGTAATTGGGGCTTCGAAGAACATGGAACTTTCTTCTTCTGAAATTCCATGCCGAAAGGCAGACAGCTGATCCACAAAATAACCAGTAATAGATTTAGGAGACAAAGTCATATCAAGTTCTGAAGATTGAAAATAATTTGCAATATTAGCAATAGAGAGGAAATTCTGCTGTTTCCTTGAGGAGCAGCTGAGTCAGACAGCAAAAGTGGGCTAAAGTGAAGTATGCATGTTTGCTTAGTCTTTTCTTGTTCTGCAAAAAGGGCTGTAGCATGGCAAAGACTGCTTTAGGGAATTTTTTGGGGATGAACAAGAGATGGTTCCTGGTCTTGGAGCTGGATTTAATTTTATCATTGTTTACATTTGCTGTTTGAAGTATGTTAGATGATAATAAACAGTGAAAGACTGCTTGAAAAACATGTGCTTGTTCTAAGAACGTTAGCATTGGCAAGAATTAACCTAAAGTCACAACTTGCTTATTTTGGTGTGTGGTGCTTGCCCTTACTGACAGCATAAACTAGGTTTGTAATTTGAACTGTGAAGAAGTCCTTGGTGCATCTCCCTTGCACATCAGCATGTTATTGCTAAGTAATACATGTGCCCTGGAAGATATTTTCATTAGCTTGTTACTTGAGTTTGCAGAAGTTGACGGTCAATTGTACATCTAAAGCACAAGTAAAGAAACCTTGGTATTTCTTAAATTTTCTTCAAGAATGTTGATCATAAATATCTGTGGTTTTAACTGTCATATCCAGTTTTTACTTGCTTGCCTGAACTGCAGTGTCAGACAGCATTTCACATCACAGCTTATTTGACGTTGAATATCCTCAAAGTACCATATGAAAAATAAAAGCAGAGCATATTTAAAGAATCCTCAAACATAAACAATTTTTATTAGAATGATGAGCAAATCTTCAAATGCCACAATTTTATCTTTGAAGATGATCAAAATCCTTTGTTTAAAAAGAAAATAATTTGAAGGTGGTGAGCTGGTGAAAAAGTGGGTTTTATCCTATTTTGTTGTATTGCTAGATAGTTGAATATTTTTTACAACTAACTCCTTGTCCGAATTTACAGATCCATGGGAAATTTAATATGTTTGGAAAGACATTCAGCTTTGTAGTAGTGCAGAAGAATGGAATTAGAGTATTTGCTGAATCAGAATGACTGTTGGAAAGAAAAACCTTTACGCATGCAAGTTCACTGCTGTCTTGGGCAAGTGTGGAGATGTCATGAATGTTCTTTAACTGTGATACACCTCTAAAGGATACTGTTGAAACCATTCTTCTGCAAGAGAAAATGAGCCTTTCTAAGGTCATATCAGAGAGATAGTGTCCCTATTCATGATGGTAGCAGAAATTACTTCATTCTGCTCTGCTGGGAGGATCTTGCTTTATGGATCTTTGCATAATACAGACGTTTCTGTGCATTGGAGTAGCATGTTGTCAACCTTTCTTGATCATGGATTTGAAAATGCTCACCATCTGTCTAGACCAACACAACAAACTGAAATGGTTTTGAATAACCATGTTGTATAATACATTTGCATCCAACATTTCAGGTAGAGATACGATTTTCTCCATAAACAGTAAGCACTGGAAAATTAAATTTCCTTTCATAAAGTAGGTTCTGGACTATGACAGTTAACATTATGTGAAGAACTGTGTGATCTATTGTGATTGAGTGGTTCAGCTTTTCTCACTGCTGAGACATGCAAACATCCTGACATTAATCTTAAGCTTTTATGCAGAAGAGGCAGTTGTGGAACATCTGAGTGGATCATGTAAGAGCTTTCAGAGTGAAACTGACCCTTTTTTTACTGCTTTTTTTCCTGCTGACAGAGCTTAAAATTGTCACCAGTGCCTCTTCACTCCTGTCATGTTTATTGTTAGCAATGCACAAAGACACAAGACATACTGCAACTTGTCTTCAGAATTAATGCACCAGGAGAGCAGTTGGAAGACTTGCACTGCAGGGAAGGATACTCTGATACTGGAACTGTTGTCTGAGCGCAGGTTTCACATGTGATTTTTAGAGTGTACATCTTCTAGAAAGATCTCACAGAGAAACTTGCAGTGCTTGGAAGCTGTTGCTTTTCGTGCTGCTGTAGTATCAAGGAGTAGGAGGATATTTAGGGCATTTGATATTGACAGAAAGCTGATATGATTATGAAGTCTTGCAAAAAATGTTTCCTGAACAGGTCCCACCTGTTGAGCTGCCACAAGTGCCTGGCAGCCAAGGGGATATTGCTATAACTGTGTATATTGCTCCAAGAGAGCAGCAGTGGGGGAAGGGGAAATCTCTGCAGTGTCTGATGGTACATGACCATTTCCATTTCTCTACTGTGTCTATTCAGGATGGGGAAAAGGAAATGAAGGGGATGAAAGGAAAGAACAGAAGGAAGTCTACATTGGGAAATACTGTATAGGACAGTATACTTCTGTGAAAAACCTTACTTAAAAACTCTTAATTTGATAACTGCATTCTGTGTTTATGTTGTGTTTTGAGCAGTGGAATGACTCCTTTCATGCTAAAAGGTGAAGAAATCAGATTGAAAGCCAGTGTCCTGTGGATTAAAAGCTGTCAAACCTGTCATTTTTAACTCCTTGCAGAAAACTTCTCTGTAAAATAATTCAGAACTGCAAGCCTTCTAATTTCAGATTGCCTATAAAGGGGACCAAATGAATATTTATAATTTTTTGATAAGTGTAGCTGGAACAATCTGCCTTCCCAGTGCACAAATAAGGCAGTACACCTTGGATATTTTATATTTTGTCAAATAGGGCTTAAACTTTAGCTCTGAATTTGAAAAGGCATATGTTTTTAGACCTGGTATCAAACACTGGTTAACCCAAGCATATGCTGTACCAGGTTTGGTTTTTATGAGACTTTAATCTCAGGTTTGTATTTCAATTTGTAGTGCTCAAGATGATTTTCATTTGGAAATAAATCCCGTTGCTTCCAGCCTTATTGGAGTTCATTCTTTGGTTGGTTTTAGACAAGTGTTGTATTAGTGGTGAGAGAAGACCTGCCCCAAAGTGAACACATTCCCAGTGAAATTGCCCTGCAATGCATTATTCTGCATCTGAGGGTAGAGAGCAGCTGCATTTGGTGCATGCATCCCTCTGTCAGCTTCAGCCCTTTTTGTCTCAGAAGCAAACAGGTATTTCTTCAAATGGCTGACATTCTTCTGCCACTAGAATTGATTGTTTGCAAAGATAACGATTTGGAAGTGAAAGGAGACCTGGATAAGACATGTGAGATGATGGCTCTGATGACTGTGACAGTGTTCTTTTCAAATGAATATTAACATTTTTTCCAGGGACTTAGTCAGTATCAAGTTCTGCAGTGTGAATGCCTTGCTACTGTTGCTCCTACAGTTTGTTCAGTACAGGCATGTTTAACACAGGAATTCAGTATTAAAGAAGACATTACTTATGATTTTCTTTCTTGGATGAACAGTGTTATCAGCTACTTCCAGAATTCACAAATCTCATTTCATTCTGCCTCTACCATCACTAAACGTGTGTAGCCCCAGACCTCTGCTTTTCTCTGGGCCCTTCTCATTGCTGAAAGGTATCCAGTGTCCTGAAGTAGATGAGTATCCTCATCTAAACAAAATGATGGGTTTGGGACATTAAGCATCTATTTAATATTCATGATAGCAGTAAGTTTTTTATTTGAAACAAAACTTTTAGGGCAATCCCATTAGAGTGGCATGAGCTGAGCACAGTTAGAAGAAAGCAGAACTGTTCTCCTGTCCATCTTCCTGTAAGAGAGGTTTGTGATCTGAGAAATTTTTGCTTCATCAGTCTGTAAAATAGTTTCAGACTATATTGAATCATGCTTCTCTTTATTCAGTTGGTTGTTCTTTGTTCTTTCATGTGGCTTGATATTGTAGTATTGCAGGTATTTTACTTATTTTTTTACCCTATTTGGTAGTAGAGCTTTACATAGTTACTCCTCTAATTAAATTTCATTCAGTTGTAGAACATGTGTCTTACCCAAGACGTTTTTTCATTTGTTTTTGTGGAAATGTAGTAGGGTTTGCATGCTGCATTTTAGGTGATAACCAGCAAGCTAAACCTTTGTTTGCTGCCACCACAAAGATTTTGAGAAGGTAGAAGGGTGGAGTTTTTACAGGACAAAGTCTATTATGCATGCAGTTCACAGCCTGCAATCTGTAGGCTTGGAAACAGATAACAGGTTCTGAGTTGCTTGCAGAGAATATAGAGTAGTTCTGTATTTCATAAAGTGGTAAAAAAGCTGTTGGGCATTAGCATTTAAATTTGTAATGAATTGCTGCTAGGTACAGAGTATCTTCTCAAAAGGTTATTTTTATGGGGGTGTTTTTCCGCTTTTTAAAGCTCTCTATTATTCTTTGCCTTTGTTTGATAGTGTACCAGTGGAGATGCTTCTAGTTATTTAGGTACTCTTTTAGATCTTGACAGACAGATATGTTTCCATTATCTCATACTCTTTGAAAGCAACACTCCATTTTGCCTGTTTATGCAATCCTGTATTGAGTAGAATTATATCCAGTTAAACTTAACATTTCTGTAAAGGCACAAAAAACGAGGAGGAAATGGACTGTTGTATCCAAGTTTTTTCCCCCACCCTTCATAGAATTCCTAGTTTGACATCTTTGTTTGGCATTAATTCTTGGTAGTGTGTAATGTTGAGTTAATTCTCCTTCTGAGAATGAGAGATGGTAATTTCCTTAAAGCTGGAAGATCTTTGAATTGTTTGGTAAACTATTTACATCCTTCTCCTCTTTTGTGATAGTTTTGCTTTTCTTACAAAAGGTCGGCTTCATTGAATTTTTCAAAAGCTTGATTGCTATTTTAAGTATGGTTTTGGGGATCCTATGTTGTCTGCTAGCTCTGCAAACAAATAACCTCTGTTGTTAAAAGACATGAAAATATCTATGGTAAATTATTTTTCTTTAGGAGTGTTTTCCTGTTTTGTCATTTGGTTTTGTTTAATTTCAGTGCAGAGGAATTGAAAGATAAATTTGTCTGCCAGAAAATTCTTCTTATTAAGGACAAGGACAGGTGCAGGCTTTTAATTATAGCAGTGTTTTATTTTATATTGCTGCTGATTTTTCAGATGAATGCACTGGACACACTTGGTCAAACAGCGTTGCACAGGGCTGCATTAGCAGGTCACTTGCAAACCTGCCGGCTGTTGCTGAGTTACGGTTCTGATCCTTCCATCATCTCTTTACAAGGCTTCACAGCAGCACAGATGGGAAATGAAGCAGTGCAACAGATTCTAAGTGGTGGGTAAAAATAAAGGATTGTGTATTTGAACTTCGGTTTCTCCCTTAACAGCTTTGGATCTTATTTCTTTTTCAATGTAAGAGACTTGCAGTAGTTTTCTCATCTATCCCTGTGTGATACTTGTCAGAAAATATAAATACGTAAATAAAGAGCACTGATCAGTTCAATGATTTTGTGCAAATTGGGAAGAAAATAAACCTCTTGTAGATTTAGAGCATGCTGCTATACAGGGAGCTTGTAGGAAGGCACATGTAGGGAGTTTTGGGGTTTTTTTGGTAGTAAGTTCCAGGGCAACTGGAGTATCGCTGAGCATGTGGGAAACCTTCTTCCCTTCACCGGCCTCCCTGTTAGGTACTCTATACTTTAGCAGTCACAAGTAGAGTGTTACAGGCAGAAAAATTCTGATATTTGCTAAGCTGTTTGGACTTTTACTTCAAATCCCTCTCTTGTCCAGCAGAGAAAGATTTTGTTGTTAAAGTGCTTAGATAACAAATTGTATAGATAACAATCTGTTTATATCTTGCATTGAAGAAGTGAATGAATGTTTAAAGAGGGTGCCACTGTTTTTCCTGTAAGTGCTTAAGGGTTTGCATCCTCTTACTCATGTTACATTTGAATTTTCGCAAGTACAGAGAAGAATAATTGCATCAGTAGGAACTACAGAGGAAGTAACTCACCTTACAGTGAGATGTGCAGGTAGTCAAGGAAAGGCACATATCTAGATAGATGAGAAGATCTGTGGTAGCTAGAAACTCCATTTCCTCCAATGTTTTCAATGTTATTGCTTTAAAACAGGACAAAAAAAAAGGCATTTTACAGCAGTACAAGGAAGGACTGTTTTGAAGTGTACCCACTCCTGAGATGTAGCTGGTTACACAGATAGCATTACCAGTTTAAAATGTGCACATGAATGTATGTATGTGGATTGAGAGAGAAGAATGTCAGCTCTAGAGTCGAAAACTTACTGGTTTACACTGAAACTAAGACTCCTTATTCAGCTTTTTTGTTGAACATCACAACCCCAATTGCATTTTTACAGATTACAACAAACCAACTCCACCCCCCAATTTTGGAAAATATGTCGAGCACAAGTTAATATAACTTAGTTATCCTGAATAATCCTAAACATCTTTTTCCCTGTGTAGAAAGTACACCTGTGCGCACATCAGATGTGGATTATCGGTTGTTAGAAGCATCTAAAGCTGGAGACTTGGAAACTGTGAAGGTAGGTTTGAGCAATTCATGGTAATTTTCCACTTTGCATCATGGTGCAAGGCTTGTAGAAGCCTGTGTTATGAGAGTTGTGGAAGTAATGCCCAGTGAAAGGTACATCATAAAAAATGCTGAGGTGTGTTTCTCTTGAGTTTTTGGTTGCTCATTTTACCAGTCCTTCACACAGCCTTTGATGGACTCAGATGTAGCCATAATTCTTTGAAGTGAACCCTGTGATTTGCGGAATCAGTTTAGTAGAAACAAGCCTCAAGTGCACGATTCAATCAGAAGGCAAGCAAACACTATTAACAGGTAGCAGACTTCTTATTTTAAGCCATCCTTCATCTGAAGGTGAAGGATCAGGCCATGGACTCCCAACATCATAGGAAGGTTTGATCTTGTCTTTCATACTTGGTGTGTGGGCAAAACGGCCTGCATATAGACTGTTCTGCATACATTCCCGCCTTGAGCTTCAACATGATATATATTAATATTCAAACAGCAGCAGTTTTGTGCACCAGCAGCTCCTCTGACTGCTAAGCTCAATATTTCCAGATTTCTGAAGGCAGCATGGGCTGAAAATGGTAACATATCTGGAAAAAATTACATGGCCTTGAAACTGGCACTTGATGATGTAGAGGTTCATCCTTTCTAATACCTTAGGAACTTCTTCATACTGCTTCCATCATTTAAGTCTTGTTTGTTATAGAGGTACTTTCAGCCATAAATTTAGAGCAGTTATTTTTTTAACTTTATCTAAGTGCAAACAAATTTCCTGATACTTAACTTCTGAAAATTTGTGTATAATAATATATGGTTTGGGGTCTTTGGAGGTGGTAGTTTAGGCTTTTTCTTTTGGGTTTGTTTGTTTGGTGTTTTGTTGTTTTTGGTTGGTTTTGTGGAGTTTTTCTGTTTGTTTGGTTTAGTTCCGTACTAGATTTTGGCTATTTTTGTCTTTGCAGCAACTTTGCAGCCCTCAGAATGTGAATTGTAGAGATCTGGAAGGCCGTCATTCAACGCCACTGCATTTTGCTGCAGGATATAACCGCGTATCAGTGGTGGAGTATCTGTTGCACCATGGAGCAGATGTGCATGCCAAAGATAAAGGGTACATTGAATTCCATGAGATGCTGTTTTCTATTAGTGGGAGACTTATATCCTGCATATTCATTTGGCTCAGGTCTCAGTAACCATCATGTTTTTCTCTTGAAAATTTTTCTCTTTCCTTTCTTCATGTTCTGCTTTGTTCCTATGCTGTAGGGAGATTTATAGACCACTAAGGCATACTTTGCTTTTTGGCAAAGCCGTCATCAAGTACACTGTTGTACATGATACTTCTCCCTTTTGCCCATTTTGGAGACTTTGTTGTGCTTAAAAGCAGCCTTTAACTTGTTTTAGGTGATCTAAAATTAGTTTTGAGTGGAATGAGGTAAAATACTAGGGTTATCTCTGGTCATTTTCCTAATTCTATTAGTTAGCTTTTATTATTAAGTTATTTATTGAGTTAATATTCAGTTAAATTATATGAACCATTTACAGGTTTTCGCATTAATTGCAAAGCAGTCATGTAGAATAGCATGATTATGTTTGATCTTTCACTCCAATATATTAGTTCAGGGTGGGGGATAACTAATTTCCCATACTGAATTTTCAGACTCTTCCTGAAAGAAATGTTTGAGCATCTTCCTGTATCTGTCAGGTGTGCAGTGCTTACCTAATAACTGTACTTCAAACACTTTATATAGTGTTATATCTTTTCTGGAATTTACACTCAGTATCCAACTGAGAACAACAGTGAGTCTTGCAGTTTAGATTTTGGCTGTTGTTAACAGCATTGAAGTTACGTGCTTGTGGAAGCAGTAACAGCTGGGCTTGCTAAGTATTTAAGAGTCTCGTGGATGAGAACTGAAGGAGGATAATTAAGTTTTAATTGATATTTTAATAGCAGAGAAATAAAACCATGAAAACTGGAAAGACTGAAAGTTACCAATAATGTCTGGTGAAGTGGGAGTTTTATCTACTGGAACTTTATAGGATTGCATATTGGATTTTATTCTCTTTAGCTATTAATACTTTCTCTTTGATTAGTGGCTTAGTACCCCTGCACAACGCCTGTTCTTATGGACACTATGAAGTGGCTGAACTCTTAGTGAGGCACGGTGCTTCTGTCAACGTGGCCGACCTGTGGAAATTCACTCCTCTACATGAAGCAGCAGCAAAAGGAAAATATGAAATCTGCAAACTGCTTTTAAAAGTATGTACTGGACTTCTCAGATGTGTATTTGTCCTGGTTTTAGCTAGGGTAGAGTTAATTTCTTCTCAGCAACTGTTACAGTGCTGTTTTGGAGTGGGAGGAAGACAAGGAGGGGTTGAGAGAGTGGCTGCATGGTGCTTAATTTCCTTCTGAGCTTAAACTACAACAGTCCTTAAATTCATGTACGTTTATTTTTCTGAAGATTAATTAATGCAAAGTTAATAGCACTCAGTGAGTTCTTGTGGTATCTTTGAATCAGTTTTCATCTGACAGTTGTCAGATGATTTCTTGTGTAATGTCATTCACTTACAAAGAATCATCAGTACAGGTACTCTTTGCAGAACATGTATTAATACTATTAGCCAAGTAGGACAAGACTCTCAAACTGGAAAAACCAGCTGAATTTGTGTAGAAATACAAAACCCCCACCTTGTCCTGTCCATCCTTTTCTGGAACGGTTACTGCATTTAGGTAAATTTTGTTAATACTTACGCAAGAGCGTGTTACAGAGCAAAAACTGAAGGTGGGTCCTAAATGATGTTTGGTATGAGAGAAATTTAAAACTGTTATGTTAATGTATAATTTATCAAGCTTCTGGAGGAAATGCATTTTAATATACTGTGGCATAAATATTCATTATACTTACTGGAAGAACCTGTAAAAAGCATGAGGTAATGCAAAGATGTTTTCAGTGAGAAACATGAGTCTGAGAAACTTCTTAACATAAGGTCATATCCTGCCGTGGGAGGGTGAGAGAGGGTGCTAGAGTAGAATTTCTTGTCAATCCTATTTCCTGGTTTCAGCCTTGCCTACTTATGTCCGTCTGAAGCACAACATTTAAAATGGGAGTAAATCAGAATATGGATAGTCTTAAAATAATGAGGATCTTCCCCAGCAGCCTTTCATTTGCTACTGCTATTTCCCTCCTATCTCATTCATTATTTCACTTAATTGCCAAAAAAGCAGTTAGAGAGAGTAACACATTAGTTTGAAACACATCTACAGCAGGAACCAGAAGATATTCAAATATGTCTATGGAGTAGGCATGATGATGGCCATGGAAGTAACAGCTGAATACAGAGATTAGCTCAAGCTATAGGAGTACTCATGATCTCTGAAGCACAGTGTTGGTTTATAGACACTGGAGTTCTCTGGCCTTTTCTGATCATTCCACTGGGAATTTAGCCATATTTTGTGTTCAAAGGATCCTGAATGGATGTGCAATGGGAAATAGAAAAGTGCTGAAATTTATTTTTTTTTAAATCACACTTGCACAAGAGCTAAAATATGCCCCTAAGGTGACAGATTTGTAAAGGCTCTGGGTGTCCGTGGAGATGTGCTCACACTGCAGCTTGCACCGGGTTTCTCCTCTGTGTCTCTTATGCCAGCTGGCAGTGTTGTCAGTTCTGCTGAGTTGTGGATGTTGAGCTTGAATCCTCCTGACTTGTGCTCCTTCTCTCCTGGTCTGCTTGAAGAAGGAAACAAAAATATACTGGCATTTTGGAGACACTGTCTTTTTTCATCACCTTTCTTTAAAATTACCACCTTCATTTGTTTCTATGCCTTGGAAGGGGTCTCAGAAGACACTGCCTCTTCATTCAGATACTTATTCTGGAGCATATTTGAATAGTTCCAATTTTGATGGGCTTTAAATTAAGAGATTTAAGGTCATATATTGGAGAAATCATTGCAGTTTAAAGGACTTTGTGCAAAGAGTACTCCCTTCCTAAAAGAACCACAGATGTGGAACTGGTTCTGTGTAATCAATACTCTGTCCCTTTCTGTCCCTTGCTGTTTATCCTTCACACCCTGAGCATAGTTGTACTGCTTCCAAATACAAGGCAGTTAATTCCTTCTGTTCTCCACATTCCCAGCTTATTCCCTGTGGCTCACACTAACACAGATTTGCCAGCATGTCCAGTGGGAAATGGTAGGGCAGACTTGCTGGCAGGGGTTGGACCACTTGTTTGATTATTCTAAAGAGGCCAGTCAGAGAATACAATGCCAGCAGCTGCTTCTGCCTTATCTATCTTTGTTTTTTTCCACTGCTGCTGAGAGTGAACAGGGAAGGAGCTGTCCTCCCACAAAACTGAATGTGGACATGACTCACACCATATGCTCTATATAGCTGTATGTTCCCCTTCTCATCTACTGGTGCTCCAGTTCTGTGTTCTTATCACTGCCTGATCTGCTTGTTTTACCAGCAGAGATATACTCCAGCAGTCATCCACCTCCACTTGTCCACCAGAATTTTTTCTTCACTGCTTTCGAGGACCTATAAACTGCTTAAGATGCTTCTGTTACCTATTGGAATGTGTAGAGAAGAGTATTTTTCTAATTCCCTTCTGAAACAAGTGCCTTTTAATAGCAGGGTGGCATTTAGTAAAACTTAGAGCCTGGCTTTGCTAGCTCAGAAAGTTGTGCTAAGGAAAAACCTCTGCCAGCCATTTGATTCCTGCCAGTTTTCAGGAGAAGGGGAGGACTGGCAGCAAAGTGCTTGCAGTTGGTTTTTCTTTAGCACCTGCTGTGACAGTAGGAAATAGCTATGCAGGACATGATTCTGAACGTACTTCAGTTGCAACCAGAGCAGTGGCAGCTCTTGCAGAGGGTTGCCATTCTTGCCTATGGAGTTGAGATTCATACAGCTGTGTTTCAGACTAGTGCTGTTAGGCTTCAACTTCCTGAATTTAGTCTCATGTGCAGTTACTTCATGATGGTAGGTCAGCAAAATCTCCTGCCTTCTATCTTGTTCCATGAAATAGCTGCACACTTATGTTCATTGCTCTGCTCATGATTGTGACAGTAGCATTTGGCTTTGCAGCATGGAGCTGATCCAACAAAAAAGAATCGAGATGGGAACACTCCTCTAGATTTGGTGAAAGAAGGGGACACAGATATCCAGGACTTACTGCGAGGAGACGCTGCCTTGCTAGATGCTGCCAAGAAGGGGTGCCTGGCACGAGTGCAGAAGTTATGTACTCAAGAAAATATCAACTGCAGAGACACCCAGGGAAGAAATTCAACACCACTACACCTTGCAGGTGGGTGACTCACCAGGTTTTGTGGTATATTTGTGGCTTGTATATTTGCGGTAGGCTAAGGGTATATTTCACCCAGGACTGGTATAAGAAGAGTTCCGCAGAGAACTGTCCTGTACAAAGAGTTAACCGTGGCACCTATATTTCAGGAGGTAATACAGTTACTAGGGAAGAGGAACTTTTGTAGCTGAAAAATTGCCTTAGCTTTTCTGTCTAATATTTTTCTTTAGTTTAGCTCTCCTAATTTCTTTTCCTGTGCTTTTCTACAGCTGGTTACAACAATTTGGAAGTAGCTGAATACCTTCTTGAGCATGGTGCTGATGTTAATGCCCAGGACAAAGGAGGATTAATCCCCCTACACAACGCAGCATCCTATGGGGTAGGTGCAGGCATTCTTGCCATAAGTAGACCAGCAAGGAACTCCTTGAAGTCATATCCAAAGCCAGATATTTTGCAGCTGTCTTTCTGTGAAAATAGTTCAGGTTTTGATGGTGTGAAGTATTTGTTGGGCTAAGTTGCTGTCGTGAGTGCTGTTTGCAGTCCTACAGATCTAAATAAGACACAGATTCAGGTGTGCTGTAGCAGTTAAAGGCTGCAGTTTGGAAAGATCACTACAACATAGCTTTTATGCAGGCAAGCAGATGCATAGGATTGAACACTGTTAAGTTTGGGGTGACATTTGAAACAGAAAAGAGCTCAAGTTGTCTCTGAAGGATGTAGATGGAAGGAAGAGAAAAATACCCGGGGATCATGTGCAGGTGATGATAGGGAAGTGGAAATCTGTTGCAGCTGGTGTCTGGTGGGAAGCTATTGCTACAGCATTGAAGGGCTACTGTCTTCGTAATATGGTTGTCCTTCAGGACAAGCCATCTGCTGCAGTGGGGGTCCAGTGGTAGATTGAAGCCATTTTGGATGAGGCAGGCCCTTCTTCCTCCGTATAGAAGGGAGCATCTCTGTACCAGTTGCACAGATGCCTGATAGATTGCTTATAAGCAGTTGTTAGTTGTGGATGAGGTCAGAAAGAAATCTTGTGCAAGTAATTGTACAGAGACAGTGCTTGAGAAGCTCCTAGCAGTGTGCTTGCAGTCAAACAGAAGACATGAAGCTCAAGAAGTTGTAGTGGTTTTGATGGTCTCATGATGTGCTTTGTCTGTTACTACCTGGCCTGGCACAAGACCATCAAAATCTGGGAGAGATGACCCTAATAGAGGCATGAGTTGAAATAAAAAGTACAGTGTTCACCTTGTTTTTAAGAAGAGCATGAATGAAACTCATTCTACATCATTTGCATTGGTTATTTCGGTCAATCTGGGTTCCTACTGTCCTAAAGAGCAAAAAGCTCCAAATCCTGATGAAATATGAGAAATGCAACACAGAATTCTTTTATGTTACTGGGTCCTAATACCAAGCAATATTGTTTATCATATACTTAATGCTATAAATATTAATTCCGAGGATGTTGCTTAGATCTAGAGATAAATTCTGTTGCAAAGATTGTGTTCTGGCATGGGAAACTATTATATGTGAAGCCAAAGCATCCCTTACTGGCTCAGATAAATGTTAGAAATTCGTTTGAGCTGATTATCACTTCTAAAATTCATAATGCCAATCTAATTACTTTCTCTTGGAAGAGTTAACTAGACAGTGTTTAATGCTTTTCCATCGGCTTATTTAGTTAAGAGTTGCTGTATATCTTTACTGTGGCATCCCACACTTCTCTCTGAGCTGTCATCAGCCTGTTTAGATCTCTGTAATGGGAGGCAGAGAGATGACTACTGGTTTCCCAAGTTCATAGCTGGCAGGTTTCACAGGCTCTGCCTTTTCCTCACAAAGTATCTTCAGTTCTCCCATCCATTACTTCATGCTGTGTGACCCTCAATAGGTCTTCCTGCAGCAGAAAAATCACAGTAACAACAATTGCTTTAAAAGTTTAAAAGTTGCAGAGAGGAAAAATAAAGTCTCCAGTATTTTCAAATCACACTTGTTCAGAGAGCAAGCTGTTTGTGAGAGCTACAAAGAGTCATTTAATTGCCAGTGAGGGGAAAAATGAAATCCATTGGCAAGTGTTTGTGCTTCTGCTTACAAGTTCAGTGTTTCATCCTCCTACCCACTCATTTTGACTACGTGCTTTTTTATTTCTTAGCTGTAGTGCACAAAAAAAAAACCTACTGGTCAGAGGCAGGCAAAAATTTTATTTGCCAGTTTTCCATTCTCTTATATTTCTGGGGAGACTCTAAGGATGGGATATTGATGGAAGTGTGGGGTTATAAGTTCATTACTTTTATAGCCCGTGTAAAACAGTTGTCCCTTATCACACTCATAATGCATTTTATCAATTACAGCTCTCATAAAATATGATTGAAGAAAGAACTAATCTATGCTGGCACAGATAGGTTCAAAGTCTTGCAAGAAATTGCAAGAAAGAAAGTACAACAATAGAGACTTCTGTGTACAGGCAGTACATATTCTTCCGTGTACAGACAGTAGCACAACACATTGATCTTCAGAGCTTCTAGTGTTGTATCACAAATGTAGCAGCCATGTAAATTTGCCGGTTCAAATTTGTCCATGAATATTTTTTAAATGCAGGATCAAGTATCACGTCTGCTTCTGCAGCTGACATAAACTTCATGCCATGTACTAGGGTGATTTGACAGAAATATAATGCTGTGCCTGATCCCAGTTGTTAATGTACTGGTGAATGATCTGGTAGTGCACAGATCCAGATGACTGTGGAGCTGCAATATAAACTGGTACCTGAAGAAGTGTGCTGCTACATAGACACAGAAGGCAGAATGAGTTAAAGGAAAGAGAAACTACGGGAGTCTCTAGGCACCATTACCTCCAGCATGAAAAAGGAAATATATGTTTTACCAGTGTCATGTTGATTAAGATGTTCTTGTGTTTTCCAGCATGTGGATATAGCAGCACTGTTGATCAAATACAATACATGTGTAAATGCAACAGATAAATGGGCATTCACACCATTGCATGAAGCTGCACAAAAAGGAAGGACACAGCTCTGTGCTCTGCTGTTAGCTCATGGAGCAGATCCAACCATGAAGAATCAAGAGGGTCAGACACCACTAGACCTGGCAACAGTAAGTTCATGTTAGCATGCCAGCCACAGTCTGCTCTGGAGGATTTGTTCTGCATGTTAAATTCCTTTCTCTGGTTCCATGACATCAGGGGTCCTCAGCTTTCATTGTGCTGAGGTGGAGAGAGAAGAGCATCTCCAGAATGCCTATTTGTGACTTTTTACCCATCAGTCCAGGCATTTTCCTTTGGCTGAGATCTTAACATGGCTTGTGATTTAAGGTTTGCTTCTGCTTAAGGATTTAATCCTGGGATCAATCTCCTCATTTCCAGAAATAAAACTTTATGAAATGTCCCTCATGATGGTCAATCTGTATACTGTTGATGATCATTTCTTTGAACCTAGGAGGAACACCAGATGGGCCTCTAGAGAAATGGGATCATTTAGAGGATGAGTATGCTCAGTGCCTCCACATTACCTCAGTTCTTTTTTTTATTTTTTGTAATTCCAAAACAACATTCTGAAATTTGTAGGTGACTATCAAACTTTTTCTGAAACTGGCATCTGTAAACTTTCTTGTTAGTGGTGGCTGCTTGAAAAGCCTAATAAAGTTACATGAACATGTATGTCCCAGGTTAACCAGTCTTGGTAGAATAGATCATGTATCCAAATTGGATGCTCTGTCTGGTTACACTGTGACTATCTTTTAAGGTCATTGATTTATTTATGGAGAGTTCAAGAAATATCTCCCAGAGTAAACTGAGCTTTAGAAAACTTGCTTTGTGATGAAGGATATGAAAATTACTTGATTTCTCTGAGGGTAAATAAGGATGTCTTATTTTGTTCTGTTCTACAAGAACTTGCAAGGGGGAAATTCTACAAGATGAGGGTCTGTCTTAATTTAGTGAATAAAGGCTAAATCCAATTGTTAGCTAAGTTCATACTTCTCCTGAGCTCATGTCTTTTTTTTTTCCTGTTCTAACACTATGAGATATGATTATAGCAAAGGCAGTGGTAGTCTTTCCATTGAAACCTTGTTCCAGTGCAAAGTGCTTCAGCTGAAGTTGAGCCTGACAGAGAAATTATAAGGTGGCATTTCCTGGCCTAGGTTCTGAAGGATTTCAGATAAAGTTGCTATATTGCTCTTCCTGGCTTTAACACCTATAAAGTCACTGTGCCAGAAAGGAAATTAGGTATACCTTCTTATATACCTTTAGAAATGGGGAGAACCCGATTCACCCGTGTCTGAACAGTGAATCAAAATGTTCTTGCAACCATGAATTCCCCTGTAACAAAAGTTGGAGGTTTTCTTTCTAACGGGGAAGACACAAATCAATTAAAACAAATGAAAATAAAAATTATATATATTTCCAGAAATTGGTGACTTGTGTAGTAGGACCTTATGTTGGATGTTCTTTCTGTTTTTCAGGCTGACGATATCCGAGCTTTGCTGATAGATGCGATGCCTCCAGAAGCTTTGCCTACATGCTTCAAGCCTCAAGCTACTGTTGTTAGTGCCTCTGTGATCTCGCCAGCATCCACACCGTCCTGCCTCTCTGCTGCCAGCAGTATAGATAACCTCACTGGGCCACTGGCAGAACTAGCTGTAGGAGGGGCATCAAATGCTGGTGATGGAGCAGCAGGAACTGACAGGAAGGAAGGAGAAGGTGCATTTGCGGCTGGACAAGTTTACATTGCTAGAAGTACAGTAGTTTAGTATCACAACAGGCCTTGCTTTATCTGGAAAGCATTTCCAACTAGCCAGAAAATACTGTGCAGCTTGAACTGTTACCTACATTTTAAAGTGCCTGATGCTCGCTCTGTTTTCACATGCTCTGCTAGGAGCACTGTTGACTGTTCATCTGTGTTTGCTGTCAGTGATTAGGTCTGACTACAAAGGCAGATCTGATTAGGTACCCAGATGTTCGTTGTTGATTTTATAAAGAAAATCCAATAAGAATTATTTTGATGAAGGAATTATGATTGTGATGGCTGGGGGACTTTGCTAAGGCCTTTTAAACCCTTTAATTAGTATCTGGAATCCATGCTTTAGGTCAGCATCTAGGTGATCACATAGCAAAAATACACCCACTCTTCCTTTCCTTCTCTTTACAATACAAGCCTGCATTTGTCACAGATGGCTTGTGCTTTTAATAGTTCATTCTGAAGAGGGAATAGTGATGAGCTTTGCACAGAGCTTTGACACAATGGAAGTGGATTGTTTATTACAGGCATGGACAAATTGCAAAAAAAATCAGAGTGTGGAATTTCGAGAGAATCAGTGCTACTGATTATTTTTTTAAAGTTGGTTGGTTTGGTTTGGCTTTTGTTAATTCAGATGCATAGGATATAAATACTCATTTCTTCTCTTGTAGTTTCTGGTCTTGACATGAACATTACCCAGTTCCTAAAAAGCCTCGGTCTTGAACACCTTCGGGATATCTTTGAGACAGAACAGGTAAGTGGCCAGCCTCATCTCTGTTTGTATGTTTAAGAGGTAAACAAACCTAATAAATTTGAACAACATTTTTGTTTTGTAATTGAAAAAGGGAAAGAAAAAACTCCAATGTCACATCTACAGAAAAATAAGTATCCCTAAGTTTTCTTTCAGTTTTCCACCAGATACATTACGGTAAAGTTGAGAAACCTCTGAAAATATCTTCTGTTGTTTGATTCAGGTGTCCAGTAGCTTTCACTTTCTTATACATATGCTATGACTGCCAATTTGGCTTGTATTCTGAAAGTTATACTGGACTTTGTGAACTTTGAACATGATGGATATAACAAAGTTAGGTTGAAATGTAACCTGCACTTGTCCTTCAGTCTCAATAGCCAGAAAAACCTTTCACCACCTGTAGTGCTGCATGTGGTATTTTGGTTAGATCTAGGAAACACTCCAGTTTGACTATATGCTGAAATAAAAATCTAGTTTGCAAGGGCATAGTCACACTAGAGAATCAGAAGCTACATTTCTATTAGGTTTGGACCATAGCATTAATTGGGTTTCGCAGGGCTAACAAGTTTCAAATGGCATTGAGAGATAGGGAAAAAAACCTGCGGATTTATCAGTATTTCACAATATAAGAAAGGAGTACAACTAATGTAAGTTTCTCAACCTTACATAATGTTTTAGAGCAGAAGTCTCTGTCATGTATTTGTAGACCCTTTTTATGTGCCATTTCTTAAATTTAAGATGTTACAGTTGAATAAATTTGTTTGTTTGCATGGATTCATGGTGGAAGTGAAAGGTACAAGTGCAAGAGACTGGATAGGATGATTATTTTTTCTTCCAGCCTCTGCTGCTAATCCTTTATTGAGGGATCAGGAAAAAAAGGGTTGAAATGTAATGTATTGCTTACAGAAAAAGTTCCAACTATTTCTGTGATATATTCTAGGAGGTATTTCTCCAAAGTTAAAATACCACATAATTTTTTCCCCTTCTTGTATATGAAGCATAAGCTTTTTTCTTTAATTTGGAACTGTTTCTATTAAGAAGGAAACAAACCTCAAACCAACCTATACTCTTCTCCCATTTCTCTTTCCTTACTATTTTTCACACCTTCCTATTGCCTTGCTGGTTTTGTTGTACTTTTGCTTCCTTAACTCCTAACCTGTTTGAAGATTTTCCCTGGCTAATAAGATTTAATAATGCAAATCGGATTCACTATATTCATCGTTTTGAAACCATTTAAGTCCTCTTGTAAGTTTCTTTGCAGTAAAAACAAGCTCGTCTTCTTTAAGCTTATTGTTTTAAGCTGGTTTTTGCAAGCACTGCAGTAACTTTGCGTGCACTTTTTCACCTTGGCTCTACCCTGCTCCTGATGCTTTCTAGGATTTGGGTTTTTCTGTATTTTTTAATGTTCTGCTGCACATGATGAATGTCTGCAGTGGCTTTTCCACAATGATCCCAGTGGGGTTGTTTTCTGCTCAGTTGGACAGATGTTCAGTGTATCTATTAATTCCTTGCTTGAGATGCTTTCTTTTGAATTAATGATATTCAGTTTGTAGTGGACAGAGTTTATACCTGCAATTCAAATTGTGCTAGTAATACAACTTCTTTTTAATTAAGTTCTATGGTTTTCTATTATTTTCTGAACTCCCCATTCTAGTTTAATGAGTAAATTCACAAGTAGATTTTATGCAGTTATCTCCTCCAGTTGAGATAGTTCTGGTTTTCATAGAATCACCACAGTGCACAATTGATTTATAGTGCACAGTACTTTATTTAGCCTTTATCTCCTGTTCTTGACAAAAACGTTTATTTGGCATCATGTTTTATTACCTTTTTGCTTCCACCATTAATCTTCATGACCTTGAAATTTAAAACCTTGTCAGGTGATTGTAGATGTATTCATGTGTTGCAACCGAATGAATAGTTGTATATGTCCTCACAATGTTAATTATTTCCAAATATAGTGGAACAGTTGAGCATGCCTTAGCATAGCTGACACACTGGTTTGATACACATGCAAGTGCACATGTGTATATAGATATACAGTAATAGCACACCATAACAATGTTGATCTGAAAAAGACAACGTTTATCAGTAAGCTTATAGATTATTAATTTCTGCTTGTGTAGTGAAAATAATGAATTGCGCAACACGGTGAAACTTTGAACGCTTCAAAAATACTCCCATATTTGTCCCAGCATTTCCTTGCATCCTCCTTCTACCTAAGTAAAAATGCTTGTGAGAACCTTTTATGAGAACAGGCTCATGCTAATTGGTTTAAGAGAAGTAAAAGTTTTGCACAGCTTCACACTGTAGCAGCTGGGTATGGTCCTGCAATAGGGAGAGGTTTGCCAGAAGGTGGCAGCAATTAGAAGTGAAAAAACCATTAAACATATATAAGGTCTTGGTTGCACCATGAGTACAATCCATTTTCTGAGATGATAGGTCTTCAGCCTTGGAAGTTGGGCTAGGTTTGGTAAGTGATTTTTGTGGTCTTTCATCTTTCCAGATAACCCTGGATGTGTTGGCAGACATGGGGCATGAGGAGCTTAAAGAAATTGGGATCAATGCATACGGACACCGCCACAAATTAATAAAAGGTGTGGAGAGACTTCTAGGAGGGCAGCAAGGTAAATATGACACTTTTACTGGTTAGTCTAACTGTTGCATATAACAGGCTCCCAGATGTAGATCTCTCTCTAAATGTAGGCGTTGTCACCAGGACTTGAAAGAATCCAGATGTCAGTAAAGTGTATTTGCTGGCAGACATGGTGGCTGAGTGGGTTGTGACAGGTAAAGAATATATTCAGGAGATACAGGACCAAGTGATCACTTGCCTTTCCAGAGAATGGACACCCCTGAGGCAGCCTTGGAAGCTGTGCCTGTTTCTCGGCACCCTGTTTCACCCAGGCAGGAACTATTGGATTGGTTTGCCCTATGTGCCTACCACAGGCCAGTTGTATCCTGAAGGGTGGACCTGATGGAGTTTTAGCTGCCCCACACTTCTGAGATGCTTCTGTTGAAAGCAGAAGCAATAAAGTGCAATTATGTCCCACATGCATTTTTCTTCTCTCTTTTAAAGCCTCTGCTGCTAACGAAAGGCTTTTTGAGATTATGCTTCTGCCTTGTGTTTATTTTTCATTTCCTGCTGTGCTGGGGTTGTTTAAGAAGAGTAATGATGATGATGGATACAAATAGAGCTGGTATTGGTTTTTCCTGTTGATTTGTGCTCCTTTTCATTCCTTCTCTTTGCAGGCACTAATCCTTATTTGACTTTCCACTGTGTGAGTCAGGGGACCATTCTCCTTGACCTTGCTCCTGACGATAAGGAGTACCAGTCCGTAGAAGAGGAGGTAATCCAAGTCCCTTTCTTAATGCTTCAGTGGCTGTATATTTCTCTTTTCATTTATAACCTGTCAGAACTAAAGTGTAATACATTTTGAAAGTGATGAAATAGGCTTTGGTGTGTGAATTGCGTAGATCTGACATGAAGTTTTTTTGTCTTTTCACATAGAGCAATGATAGGAATTATTTTGCTGTGTCCTGCTAATTTTTTTAACGAATGGTCTGTTCGTTCACTTAGTGTTATTCCAGTTTGTTGTTGTTGTGTTTTGAATGTTGTCTCATAGGAAGGGTTTCCACAGCTTTCCATAGATAGGTGGACCTGCAAAAATCAAAAGCTGTGCATAAAGACCGAGAGATCAAGACCTTGCAATTCTCTAGGCATTTTCTGTGCTCAAGCTATTTCTGCAAGTGAACCAGCTTGTTTTCTCTTGTCTCAGTGGCTTGGTTTATCAGTAACCCAGATAAACAGCTCTTGGATAATTGAGCATTGACTGCAATTTTGCCTCCCACACACACATGCTCTTTTATTTAAGTAAACTACAAGCAGATACGATTTTGAAAGCAAAAATGACAACAGAAAAGAGACTTCCTGAAGAGTTGTATTTGGAAGAAACTCCATTTTACTGTGCATTTGCTATTTGTGTCATGTTCCTACACTATAGCACAGAAATCTTGTAGTCTTTTTTAAAGTCTAGATATTCAGTATCGGTGCCAGTTAAGGCAGGAATATTTTTTATTAGTAACTTCATAAACTGGAGTTTGTGCAGATTGTTTTTATAAACTTTTTCCAACAGAAAGGGTCACTTGTCTACCATAGTAAATTGGGATGTTTATTTGAACTGTTACTAAATATTGTTGCTGTAGCTATAAATACTTCTGGAAAAGACACAATGAAACCATTAAAATTCTCAGGATCTGCTAACAACATAGGAAAATTTACAGTACAGCCATTTTCCTATCACTAAGAAATGCAACCTAAACTCATTAAAATCACATTTGTTATTACTTCAAAGTGATATTTTTGTATATTCATTTTCAAGGATTGTTTTTTTCTAGTCTAAAGCAGATTTTCCAGTCGTATATAATTTGGAAAGCAAGTGCCATTATTCTCCTTTTTCCTATGTAGATTTTTATTACAAGATTGGATAATTGCATCATCCAACTTCTCTACTGTGGAACAGTATAGGATGTGGGGTGCTTGAGAAATTAAGGTGTACCTCAGTTTAAAATTGATGTGTTTTTTTACATCTTTTAATTAATTTTCAGTCAAGATTGCCCGTTATTGTCAGTGATATTCTGAGACACTGCATGGATACTTTGCCTTGCTAGCAAGCTTTTGTGCTGAACATTCAGTTGTGTTCTTTTATGTAGATGCAAAGTACAATCCGGGAGCATCGAGATGGTGGAAATGCTGGTGGTATCTTCAACAGATACAATGTCATCAGGGTAAGTTTCAGAACCTCTTACTTTTATGGGGTAAATTATGTTAGTATCTGTGCCAGCTGGCAGAATTGGTTTAATGGATCACCCTTTTATATTTAAAGTTCTTTGTTGAAATGATATTCAGGAACAGAGTTAAAGCAAGTGCTAGATGCTAAAAATAGACTAAATGTGTGCTCTGCATGTGAAATGACGGAGAAGTCCACTTGGGCTCTTAAAGGAATCTGAAGAACTGTTGTTGAAGACAGAGGTGGTGAAGAATCTGACTTTTTCACAACCTGATTAAATTTCAGAAGTCTATAACTTCTGTATTTGACTTTGCAACCCAGATCTTTTTTTTTTTCTCAGTGTAGTCTTTTTTTGTCTCTTTAAAGAAGATTTGGGGGAGGGGTGTATGAAAGGATGATCGTGACTTTTAATAAATGTTTCTCCGTATGCAATCTTAGATCTTGACACCTCCTTCTTTGCTTTTGCTAACTATAAAAATATGTTTTACAAGCCCTGTTATTTCAGAAATCAGTGTGTTGTCTTTCTGAGGGAAAGTACACTTTCTGGTTGCTTTTTGGGGGGAGAAAGAAATAGAAGAAATCAGAACAGAACTTGATTTCTGAGCTCCAGAAAACCCATGGTGCCTATCTGTTTGAAAAGTAAACCTGTGCAGAGCCTTTGCAACTTGATCCAGCAGATCATACATCCCAAAGTAAACTTTGCTTTCCATCCCACTCCCAGCCAAAGGTAAAGTCCTTTAGAGAAACCACAGTAGTATGAGCGTGTGGCTGAAACAATATCTCAGGACAGATTAAACAGCACATCTTCTTATTTTTTTCCTCAAAAGTTGTTTCTTTTCGTAAAAAATAAACCTCAACTAGACAGCTAGTTTCAAAAAGCTAGACTAGATTGTTCAACAGAGCTCAAAGCAGAGAGAGAAGGAGTTTCAGACAGTTTCTAGTTCTTTGTGGTATTGCAGGCCTCAAGAGAAGAAACCTGAAAGTTGTCCTTAAACCTGACAACTTAGGCTGCAATTTCACACTAGTTTTAACCGTTTGTAAGTGTGTGTGCTACAGGGTTGTTTGAAAGACTTCAGCCTTGTGTGCAGAACAGGCTGGGGGTTTCTTTGTACCCTTCTCATGTCTTGCTCTCAGTTTCCCTGTTGAATTTATGTGAACTGTGTGAAACCATATTCCATTTCAATTCCAATTCAAGTATGGTTGGACTTATTGTACCCCTGCAGATTCAAAAGGTAGTGAACAAGAAGTTGCGGGAGAGATTCTGTCACAGACAGAAAGAGGTCTCAGAGGAGAATCATAATCATCACAACGAACGCATGTTGTTTCACGGTAAGGAAGAAGTGTCTCTTTGTATGTATTGGAATTTAACAAAAAAACCTAAACCCTACAAGGACCCACAGGCAATATTAATGTTGCTATGTCACCATCCTGTACAAATAATTGTATATCTACACTTGAAATGCAGAGGGTGCATTGGGAATGGGGGAGTGGTGGAGTTAGTCTGTATGGTTACTGCAATTCAGAAAGCTACACTAGGTAAAAAAATACTTTTTGTTGTTGTTGTTATTTTAAGAAAAAGGAATCTTTTTTTGCTAAGCCATATCTTAGTCAATTCAAGTAAAGCTGCTGGGCGGATGTTACATTGCTGTGAGAAAAACATGGTATCTTCTGAATGAGGAGAGCAGCACACAGTAAAAGCGTTTTACCCTGGTGCTGATTCAGGCAAGCCATCGGGGAAAGGAATCAAAACCAGCTATGAGTTTCAGCAAGAATTCTTTAGAAGTGCCTACAAATGACAGTTGCCTGAAGGTCCTTCTGCCCTAGATTCTTCTATGATTCTGTATAGGAAATTGGTTTTGGATATGGTTGTCTTGACATCTTGCCCCATCTTAACCAGTACTGACTGCTGGATAAGGTGTGCATTGACAAGATAAATTGCACTGAAATGTGAGTAGGGGGAAAGCCTTTTAATGAGATCCGTGAAATGAGTAAGAAATGAGTCACACGTGGGATTTTGGTATATAATGATAAATCCCACACATCACTGCATCCTGCTGGGTATCGCCCCCTTCCAGCTGACTGAGCACGCTTTCTGGTATTTAATGGTCTATTTGAGGCAGATAAACTCCTCTTGACATGGAGTCCTGTATTACTATAAAACTTAACAAGTATGTATCTTTTTGTGTCATTCTCTTCTAGGGTCTCCTTTTATTAATGCTATCATTCACAAAGGATTTGATGAAAGGCATGCATACATTGGAGGAATGTTTGGAGCTGGAATTTACTTTGCTGAGAACTCCTCAAAAAGCAACCAATATGTGTACGGAATAGGGGGAGGAACAGGCTGTCCCACACACAAAGACAGGTCCTGTTATATCTGTCACAGGTATGAGTCCAGCAGAGTTCCCCATACGTAATTTTGGCTGTCCTGGTTTTTACAATCCTGGCCCAGGATGACTTGTAGGGAAAGAATGGCCACTTGAGCTTGGTCATGGCAGGAAAAATGCAGTTTTCCATTTGTCAAAGCTGAACAAAAAAGGATATAAATTCAGTGAGTCCCACAGGAAGGTCAAAAATTACATCTAAGCATGCAGTGAGTATAAATCAAAGTGAGCTGTGGTCAGGAAAGAGGCTTGAAACAGCAAGTTTGAAAATGAAGAGTCAGGGGAAAATAGCAATTAAACTCCAGGCACTCTCAGAACAAAACTGCAGTGCAAAGTGGTGGTCAGCAGTACAGTGTTGTACTGTGAATCAGATAATTCTGGAGGTAGCGAGCAGGACTTAATCACAGCTTTGTTTTGTACTGGAGTAGATCAATGTGTTTCTCGCACTTTGACACCTGTCCATACCCTGCTGATAGGAACACAGAGAGTTTCAGCTTCTTTCAACAGCTTTATATAAGGTGAACTAGAACAGGCCTCCATGTGAGGGCTATATGAAGTGTGTGTTTTCCCTTCTGTGTGTCGTGAAAGATTTTTTGTGACAGGTTTCATACAGTCTTAGAACTGGTTTCTAGAAGTGTTTCTCTAAAAAACCTTGAGAAATTAATTGTAACAAAGTAAACTCAAGAGACTGAAATTGTTCTGGAAGCATACAACTCCTAGTAAGATATTTGAAAAATTATATTTTCTTTTTTCCTTTTAGACAAATGCTGTTCTGTAGAGTGACCCTTGGAAAATCCTTTCTTCAGTTCAGCACGATGAAAATGGCTCATGCCCCTCCAGGGCACCACTCTGTTATCGGCAGACCAAGCGTGAATGGACTTGCGTATGCTGAATACGTTATCTATAGAGGAGAACAGGTATGTAAGTTAGCAAGGACTGGGCTTATGGAAGGACAGAGCTGGAGAGGGGATGTGACTGACTTCCAGACCAAGTGTGCTGTGATAAGGTGGTTGATTAGATTTTTAATTTTTTTTTTCATTTAAATGTGGAAATAAACTGTATCTAGCCAGCAAATGCTACTCCCTTCCACTGAACTGCTCTGATTTATACCATGCAGAATTTCCTGATTTCCCCTGTGCTGCACTGCTAGAGCCTATTAAGAATTGTGGTTTCTCTCAGTAGGCTCTCCTTCTCCTGTTCCATTTCACTGCATTACTGCAGTATCATGATCACATGCATTTTTGGGGCTCTTGTACATCTTGAGGATTCTGGGCTTTTTACCTCTATATTCCTAGCAGTGACAGAGACTGCCCTTAAATGGCAGCTGGAGTAGCACAGCAATCTTCAGAAGCTGATATTTGATCTAAATAACTCAGCTAGACCCTGGCTCTAGAAAAGGGGTTTGCTTACTGTATTGGGTGGCTCCAAGACCACTGAATGACACTGAATAGCCACAAGTCTGTGGGGCCTGATGACATGCATCCCAGGGTCCTGAGGGAGTTGGCTGATGTTGCAAACCATTTCCATCATATTTGAAAAGTCATGGCCACCAGGCGAGGAACCCAGCAACGGGAAAAAGGGAAACATCACTCGTATTTTTAAAAAGGGGAGAAAAGTAGACCTGGGGAACTACAGATAAGTGAGCCTCACTCCTGTGCCTGGCAAGATCATGGAACAGATCCTCATGGAAGCAGTGCTAAGGCACATACAAGACAAGGAGCTGATCCAATACAGCCAGCAGAGCTTCAGTGAGCGCAGATCGTGTCTGACCGATCTAGAGACCTTCTATGATGGAGTGACTGCAATGGCTGACAAGGGAAGATGGACCGATGTCATCTACTTGTCATGTCCCACGTGACATCCTTATCTCCAAGTTTGAAGGGCGGACTATTCTGTGGATAAGGATTCGGCAGGATGGTGCAGCCAGAGGGTTGTAATCAGTGGCTCTGTGTCCAGGTGGAGGCTGGTGATGAGAGGTGTCCCTCAGGGCTCTGTCTTGGGCCCTAGAACAGGATGCCCAGAGAAGCTGTGGATGCTCCACTCCTGGAAGTATACAAGGCTAGGCTGGATGGGGCTTTGACCAACCTAGTCTAGTGGAAGGTGTCCCTGCCCATGACAGGGGGCTTGGAACTAGATGATCTTTAAAGATCCCTTCCACCCAAACCATTCTATGATTCTCTGCTAAGGTATTATATAATCTTAAGTTCAGGTTCAAAGGAAGTTTGGGGAGGTCTCCCTGGCCAGCCTCTTGTTCACACTGAATCCAGGCCAGATTGTTGAGAGTTTGCTTTGACCAGGCAGGTCTTGGAGGCCTCAGCGAATAGTGTTTCACAGCCTCCTATAGCAGCTTGTTCCTTTGATTACTTATCCTCGCAGTAAAATAATGTGTTCTTTGTATGAAATAGAAATCTTCCCTGTCTTAATTAATCACATCCTCGGGCTGCGCATCTCAGAAAATCTGTGTTCTCCATTTCATACGTAATGGAAGACTGCTATGAGGTCCCACAAAGCCTTCTCTTTTCTGGACTGAACAAGCCCATCTCCCTCAGCCTCTTCTTGTTTATCCTGTTCTCTCCCCCTGACTGTTTTATTGGTCCTTTGCTGAACTTGTCTCCAGCTTATTGGCATCTTTCTAGTATTGGAGGGCCCAAAAGTTGTATGCAGTTTTCTAGATGTGGTCAAGTGAATACTGAATAAACAGCAGTCTGAATAAACATTGCTGCTGATGTACCACAGGATGATGGTAGCCTTTATTGCTGCCAGGACATGCTATTGATTCTGCTTTAGCTTGCTGTCACCCAAGGACCTCCAGCACTTTTTCAGCAGAGTGGCTTCCCATCCTGCAGTGTTACAAGGACTTCGTCCCAGGTGCATTTGTCTTTGCTGGATTTCATGAGTCTTCTGTAGGCCCAGTCTCCTCTCATCTGTCTAGGTTCCTCTGAATGGGGCTCTGCCCTCCAGCAACTTTAGCCTTGTTCTGGGACTGAACTGACTACCAGCTGTCTTCAGAAAACACTGGACAGATGACTGACTGGGTTATGTGCTTTGGGTGGGCCAACTGTCTTACTGCCTGTAAAGGAATTTGCAGGTCACATGGCAAGTTAGTGAGCCTTTTGGGGTCAGACTCTCTGAGATTTTTGAGTAACTTATAGGCCCTGACTGATCTGTAGGATTAGCTAACAAGGAGAGCAACTCTGAATTTCTGTTACACACAGAATTTCTGGCAGTGCCTGCATGGAAGAAACATTTTTCTTTCTACTAGTATATTAACTGAAGTATTAATTACGTTGAGCAGTTCCCACTTATTGCTGGCTAAGTTTGAAATCCACTTTTTCTTCTGCATGCTATGAACACAGAGCTGATTCTTGCACTGTTCTTTCTGGGCACTGTTTAGTGAAATGCAAAAAAATGGTAACTTGCTGAGTGTACCCTTGCATAAAACACTGGGTTTTTTCTTGTTTTACTTTCAGGCATATCCAGAATATCTTATTACATACCAGATTGTGAAACCAGAAGCTCCCTCACAGACAGCAACAGCAGCAGAGCAAAAGACCTAGTAGCTTCAGAGCAGTGAAGAAGGATGTGGCTTCAGTCTTGGACTGGATGGATACATGTTTCAGAAAATCAGTATCATAAAATTCTTAACAACCTGGAAATAAGCTGTATGTTTTTTATAAAGCATTGCTGTCTTGATGAATATGATATGAGTAACTCTTGCATACTCAATTGCTACTGTTCCTCTTGAGGAAAGTTTACAAGGGACTGCCTTTTAATAACATATCTCAGGCTCCTAGTCTCTGCAGTTACCGTGTATAAAATAATATTGTTTTGATCTAGACCTTGGGAACATTATTGTGCAAATGGAAATCTTTACTGGTGCCATCTCACATGTTAAAATTTCAGACACTACTATTCTAGTTATTTTATTTGCAGATAAATTGCATTAAGCCCATCATTTTCTTTTCAGCATACATCATTAATTTTCTGTTGTCAAGAGATCCTATTTATTCTTCTTTTGTATTCTGAAGTTGAGCCGGAACCTTCTTGAAGATATTTTGCACAAAAGTCGAGTTGACTAAAATCATTAACAATGCAATATAAATTTCATCTGAGGAGGGGCTAGGTCAAGTTCTTCAATATAGGGGTTTTTTGCACACCTCTGAGCAAACAATAATATGAGTGAGTGTAACTTTAGAGTGGAGACAAATCATGATAGTTCTCTGCTTTGTCTGTGTGAGTTTTCTGGAGAAAGCCAAAAAGTGTTTGCAAGGGTAGAACCAGCTCTTGTGCGTGGAAGAACATCATAAAACAGGTCCATGTCCTCTGCTGGCATCACTAAAAGAACATTTTATAAGGCTCCTATTCGTGTGAAATGTTCTCCAGTTACAGCGGCGTATGGGTTTCTGGGAGATAGCAGGTGAAAAGTCAGATTTCATACACAAGGGCATATCTAGTTCATGTTCCTCTATAATATGAGACCCAGTAAATGGGTTTCAGGCTGGTAAGGGAGAGTGTGTTATAGCAGTTTCATGTCGCATCTTTGCGTGTGACATCACAGTTGAAGAACTTAAGGGATTTACAAAAGTAATAATTATTTTAGATATCCATTTTACATTTTGATGAGAACGAAATTTTAAAATATCGGTTGGCAAGTGGATTAGTTTCCAGGTATACCAGAGAACAAAACTAGGATTTATTCACTTAATTCCCTTCTTCCCAAGTTCCCAGGTTTACTTTACAGGGTAGGAGAAAATTATTTTTAAGCATTGCATAGCACAGAATCAAACAGTTTCAAAAGTCCCCTTCATGATGGATGTGCACTTAACAAAAGTAGCAAGCAATTTCTTTTTTTGTGGTGTTTTACAGTTTCAGAGAAGGTTGAAAATCGAGACCTGTTAATTTTTTTCCTAACAGCCAATACCAGGACATGTGCTTCAGTGTTGACCATGTAACACCTGGAGGAAAAAATGTTCCTTTGAACACAACACGCTGTATATTTCCCTATCAACCAGCACTATTTAGTATCTGATGATCCAGTTCATGCACTCAGGTTTTATCCCCCTTAAAGCAAGAAAACGACAGAATAGTATGCTTTTAATTTATAAAAATATATGTGCTACTCACAAGTGGGATTTTGCTGACATGTTTGGATAAAATAAAGCTGAAGAGCTTTTCACTTTCAGCATTAGGACACAACATTTTTATTTTTAACATTAAGGCATTAATGCTGAAGCAAGTTATCTTCATAAGGAATTTCACCCACTGTAAAATCAGTCACTTGATGCAATATGTCTACCTGAACATCATCTGCTTGTAGTATCTCTAAAAGAAAACCTTAGAAATAGCAATACTCCAACTGATCTTGAACTTTGAGTTTTAGTTTTCTTGAGCTGGCAGTGGATATATGGTTCTCACTTCATTTTGTGACCTGATTAAATATGTAGCTTTAAAGTCCCAGCCAGGCTCTAGCCTAGTTGTCCTTTTAAACAAATTTCAGTGATAAAATCAGGTGCTTGTATTTTGGCTACTTGTTTCATAGTGTTAGGATTGCAGAGATCACCACTAGGCTTTGAAGCTTTGTAATCACCATTAAAGTTTGGGGTTTGTTTCTAATTTAGTTAATAATGGAATGAGGGAATGTGCCTATCTACACTAGGATTTCAGATAGTGGCCAGAGCGAGTATTGCTCACTGTCCCCAGTTAGACATAGTTTTAAATGGTGAAACAGCTGTGCTGCTTAGGTGAGCAAAATGGAAGTTAAAAGCTTTACATCTTTCAAAAACAAGAACAAATCTAAAAACGAAAAACCCCATCAAGCCCGCACTGGATGCTGTTCTTGCTTGTTGTTTCCTGTGTGCTGATTGAACTAATGGCTAGTCTGGATTTCTTCTGCAGCCTTGAACTTCTAGAGGATAAAAATAGCCTAGAGAAGAGGAGACTAAGGGAGACCTCATTGGTGTCTTCAACATCCTCATGAGGGGAAGCAGAGGGGCAGGTACCTATCGCTTCACTCTTGTGACCAGCGACAGAACTCAAGGAAAAGGCATGAAGCTGAGTTGGGGGAGGTTTAGGTTGGATATTAGGAAATGGTTCTTCACCCAGAGGGTGGTTGGGCACTGAACAGGCTCCCCAGGGAAGTGGTCACAGCACCAAGCCTGACAGAGTTCAAGAAGCATTTGGGCAATGCTCTCAGGCATTGTGGTGTGACTCTTGGAGTGTCCAGGAGTTGGACTCGATGATCCTGATGGGTCCCTTCCAACTCAGCATGTTCTGTGATTCTCTGATTCTACTTTCCAGTATCTTTGAACTGCCAGTGTTAACGTATCTGATGTTCTGTGCAGAGTAAAGGTGCTGTGCAAGGAAATAATTTTGCAGTGGTTTTTGTCTTGTAATGACGTGATCTCATATCTGTTTGTGGCCAGACATAGAGGAATACCCAGGCCTGATGATGCATCTGTGTGTCGTAGAAACCTGTGCAGGAGTAGCGTATGTTGTTGTAGCTCCTCTTACAGTTTCAAACAAAGTGAGGATCTGCCCATCAATATCAAAGTTACCCATGAAAAACCTGGTTGTGGTTTTGGTGGTAGAGCTGTATTTGGCAGATTGTTAATGGTACAGATGCTGCTGCTTTAGCTGGAGGAGTTAACTTCAATGGGACCTTAAAAATGCCATGCCCCCATAACCAGGCAGCTGCTGCCTCCTGAGAGATTAAGCTTTTGACCTCCTGAGAAGTGCAGTTCCCTGATAGTGGGATGCTTAATTGCAGCATTGAGTCACAAGTGGAGGCACAGTAGGAGCTAAGGCTGTACGAACACTCTGGGCTAAGCCATCTCATAGGCTGGGGAGCCTGGGCACCCCTCACGGGCTCTAGAAAGAGCTATTCCCATTGGGGCAGAACACAGTGTGTGCTGGGGAAAGGGGTAATTTGTCTCTCAGGCCTGTTGATTTTTGTCAGTGTCCCTTTGAGGCAGCATTTTGAAACTTCTGTGCAGTTTGAGACAGGACTTTAATAGGCAAAACTGAAAGAAACTTCACCACATAACAAACAAGGGAGGATTCTGCCCTCCATTGCTGAAACTGTTTCTATGAGACTGATGAATTAGATATCTGGTGCAGAGCGACATTGTAATCTGAATGCTGTCAGCAAAACTTCTGTTAGGTTTAAAAGCAGAGTACAGTACCTTAATAAGGTATATTTTATTTTCCAATCCTTATTTTTACAAACCAGTCATGTTTGATCCCAGCTCCACAGAGACTGTTACAAACCCCTTGTACTAGTTCCACCATGTTGCAGTCACTATTGGTTTGTAGTCCAAGGAATAAGCAATGGTTTTCTAACTTCTGTTTTGAGTGTTTGCACGTGATGCAATTGAATCCCACTGCATTATATAGCAGGAATTTATTTTGCCTGCAAACTTACACTTTGCTTGTTGGTAACCAGAGTACCCCAAAATTCTACACTGAAGCAAAAAGAAAGCCCCACAAAATGTTGCGCACTGCTGGCCTTGGTGGGCAGCAGGCACAGAAAAGGAGTGTGGTATATGGGACAGAGCAGCTTCTGGAGAAGGACACTTTTCTTGGCTCTGGAAAGCAGCTGCTCCTAGTGTTTGTGGTAGGTTACAGGAGGCGTCTGCTCTCTGTGAATGCCTGAAGTGCTGAGGGATGCTAACATGTGCCACTGCATGGCCTCTGGGAACTACTTAACAGTGGCAAATCTCAAAAAAGACTCCTGCATCCCTGCAGTGGCATCAGAGTTCCTGCACAGTTCAGGCACTGCCTAGAATTTCCATATGGGACTGTTAACAGAAATTGCCCAGAAGAGGTTTTTACAAGACGGGTAAAAGGAAGGGTTCAGCCACAAAACAGATTAGTTTGAGCATTGCTAATCATTCTCAGAAGCTGAATGTCAGGAAATGTCTGACTTTGTTTTCAGTGGGATTTCTCCGTTTCCATGCTGCTTTGCCACAGAAAATCTAGCTCAGAAATCTAAAAGGAGACGCATCTAAGGCATGCTTCAGTCATGTTAAGGTATTTTTGCAGCATTTTAAGCTATGCTGCAGCCTCGATAGGGAAGACATGGGAAAGCACAGATTCAGTTCTTGCCTCAGGTAGGAATTGGCTTGTGAACCTCCACAGACTTGAATCCATTGTTCAGAGGTGGTGGCTTGGCACAGTCCCAGAGCATGTTCTCCTGGTCCTTCAGAGAGCATCAGGACATGTGCACAGAGGTGCAGTGGTGGCGTTCCCACCTGTCTTGAACACGTAGGAGATGTGAAACCCAGAGGATCAGGGAACAGTGTATGTGTGTTAAAATCTCTGTAGCAAGGTGAATGAGCCCATGAATCAGTAGGGGATGTGAGAAGCAGATGCCTTTCCTGGTGTGCTAATACATATGCCTGTCAGGTTGTATTATCTGACTGGTTTTGATGTACTGGTCTTGCTGGACCTGTTGGTGGTGAGTTTTAGTGTTGGTCCCATTAATTACTAATGTAGAGTATTAGAGTCTCTGTATTACAAGATAATTTTGACACTTTCTTAACATCTGCAGATGTTTCAGCTTTGGAAATTGAAATGGGGATTTTCTGTGCTGCAGTCCCATGAGCTTGTGCATCGTCATTCCTAATTGCTTTCTCTGGCAACCCAAATGGCAGTGTACCTG